AGTTTGAGTTTGTCTAGAGAGTGCCTTTATGATGCACAGTTTGTGAATGTGATACATACAGTGGTGTCGTAGTTTCCAAGAACAAGGATTTTGGAATCAGGCCTCCTGAGTTGGATTCCCATCTTTACTGCCTACAAGCCATGTGACTCTGGGCTAGTTATCTAATTTCTCTGGGCCTCAGTAAAAGGGCTCAGTAATAGTATCTACTGCTATTCATGAAAATTCATGAAGAGCCACTTGGAGCATGGCACGGAATAAGTTCTTTATAAGTAACAGCTGCTATTGTTGTTGTAATTATAGTTCTCAAAATAAGAAATAGATTTATCTTTTGGGGAGCTCATGATCCAGTGTGGAAGACAGACATGGAAATGTAAAAATATCTTAGTGTCGTAAGATTAAAGTCTGGTGTTCTTGTTGCATATTGTTTTGATTTTCAGGCAGTCGGTTTGGGAGGTGAATTTAGCATTGATCAAGGTTTGGGGCCTAGAAGGATATCGGGCAAGAAATTTTTGGAATGCTGGAAATGCACAGGGAATTAGTTTAGAAGGAAAGATTTGTGTATCAAGGATACGTGGATGATACAGTTGGACGAAGCTTAGCTGGGCATGCTGTTTATAAGCAGGTGAAAGTTGGGATGCTGGAAATGTTTGGGGGATTAGTTCATAGCAAAATGTTTGGCAGATATGGGGATGATACAGTTGGGAGAAATCCATGAGTATGCTGTGCTGTCCATCTTTGGTTTTGGCCCTTTGGGGAGCACATTGAAAAGTATGATAAACTTTTTGTTCCATAGACTCTTGCTCACTTGTTCCAGATATCAAATAAATATAAGTAATGGGCCATGAACAGGTTATTAGATATTCGAAGGGGGAGTTGGAAGAGAAGATTAGGGATTATCTAAGAGGGAGAAATAAAGTAGTTGACCTAGTATCTAACCCAATACCTACCTTGAGACAAAGGAAAGACTATACTTTGTATTTTCTCCTTTGAGTTGGAACGCAAGAATTCCTGCCCCACTCTGAGGCATTCATGGAACTAATTAGAACCAGCTTTAAGAGACATACGAAAAGTCTTCACGAGCGTTTGGGTAGATTTTGTTTATCAGTATGGTAATATGCTTTTCCTTCCATACCCAGTTTTTGACAAATTTTCAGAGTCTACAAGTATACTCCAGTAGCTTTGTTTTCGGAATCAAATTGTAACTTTACTGGTCTATTTCCTTCTCATAGTTTTTTACAAAATGATTAAAGATTACCCCATGTGTTCTTGATTCCACTCTTCCAGTGCTATTTATTGAACAAGTTTGTCCTGTCCTAAGGACAGGACATTATAGTAATTACACAGTTGCCTGATGACTGGCATTATAGTAATTACACAGTTGCCTGATGACTGATTTCCCTAATGATGGCTAGGAGAAATTCCTGAACTATAGCCTTTATGTTTCTGTAGGTTTTGTAATACTGTAATTGTTTATTTTAAAAATGGTATCACATCACCAGTAAATTTCTTTAGCTGTTCAAGGACTTACCAACCTCAGCACTATTGACATTTTGGGGTGGATTATTCTTTGTCGTGGGGGCTGTCGTGTGCATTCTAAGATGTTTAGACGCCTCCTTGGGCTGTGCCCACTGAATGCGAGTAGCGCTCCTCCCCCAGTTGTGACAACTAAAGTGTGTACAGGCATTGTCAAATGTTTGCTGGGGGGCACAAATTCACCCCTTCTTGAGAATCTCTGAACTAACCTATCATATACAGATGACTACTGAGGAGATAGAAGTAGTGGGTACATGTACTGGCTTTGGAGTCAGGAAGACCTAAATTCATTTCCCAGCTCTAACCCCAACTAGCTATTTAACCATGTCAAAATACCATGTCTGTGGTCAAAGATCTGTCTGGATCTTAGCCTCTCAGCTACAAAGTGGAACAGTGATAGTTCCTATCTGGTAGCATTATGTTTAAGATGAAAAGGGGAGATGTAGATGTTTATAAAAGGACCTAGACAGATGCTTGATGAAAAGGAGGTCCTCAGTAAATGTTAAGTCCCTACCCCACAACTTTCCCTTGATGCTAGTGATATTTCATTCATGTGTCTCTTCATTCATTCATTATTCATTTAATAAATATTTAAACTGAAAGCATGGACTCACTGAAATTGAGCAGGTGATACTGATGTAAACTGATGAGGAATAATACAGATTAATGTATGTGGTTATATTTAGAAACAATGTAGCATGAGGGCTCGGAGCCCTGGCTGTAGAGCTTGTAGACCTGGATATAAGACTGATGAATACTACTTTTGTGAGATGGGGAAAATTAGCTTGATTTCTTTATTACTAAAATGGAAGTATTAATAGTATCTGCCTCAGAGGGGTTGTTCTGGTTATTAAAAGAGACACATGCCTGGTACATAGTAACACTCAGTACATAGAAGCTTCAAAGGCCCAGCGAGTGGGGGTCAGTATAGTTCCAGAGGTCACCACTGAGGAGCTGGCCTTTAAAGATGTTGAGGATTTACCTAAGTAGAGAAGAGAATGGATATTCTGAGCAAGAGCACAGGTGAGAATGGAGAACTTGAGTATGTTTGGTACTCCATAAGCGGATGGGTTTTTGAAGCTGAGAGGCCATACAGGGAAGTGCTCTGTATTATTTAGGCAGAGAATATAAAGAAACTTGCAGAACTGGAAAGAATTTTGAAGTCTTAAATCTAAATTGTTCATTCCACCAATAAGAAAACAGAGGCTCAAGAAAGAGTAAGTGATTTCCTAGAAGGCACTGAGTCTTTGAAAGAGCTGGTTCTAGAGCTCAGAATCACCACATTGCCTCTTAGCCTCTCCTTGTCCTTAAAAAGTACAGGTAAAGATTATTAAACAGGATATGCAAATACTCTTTATTTTATAAATTAACTTGCCAAAAGCCATACTCTATACTTAGTAGCTGGAGTTGGCCCAAATACTGACAGCTAGCAATTCAACAAGTAAATATTTACTGATTGTCTACTCTGTATTCCAGACACTGGATATCATGATAAACAAGACAGACAAGGACCCTGCTCTCAAAGAGCTTCTATTGGAGAAAATAGTTGCAAATAAATTAATTCTTAAATCAAGAAAAAAAATAATGAAAAGTGCTTTTCAGAGAATTAAAATGGGTTGATATGATATAGAATGATTGGAAGGCACTTCGGATTGGGTGGGGGGCAAGGCCTCTCTAACGTTTAGAGCTTAGATCTGAATAACATAATCTTGAAGTTCAGGTGCAAAAACCTACCAGTTAGAGGCAGCAGCTAGTAGAGAGGCCCTCAGAGTGAAATGAGCTTGGCAATTTTCAAAGTAAGGAAAGAAGGCCAGTGAGGCTGGACTTTGGAACAAGTGTGGAAGAAGAAGGGGCAAGAATGTTAGAGAAGTCAGCAGAGGTCAGATCATTTTGAGTTATGTAAGCCAACATAAAGAAAGTTTTGTGCAGGAGTAATCTGCTCTGCTTTATATTTTAGGAAGATCCCTCTAGCTACTGGTTGAGGAATGGAGTACAGAGGGGCAAGGAGACCAGTTAAGAGGCTATTTGCACTGGTCCAGTTGAGAGATGAGGGTGGCTTGGACTAAGGTAATGAAGATGGAGAGAGTTTGAGATATTTGAGATATATTTTGGATAAATAATAGATAGCTTTTCGTGATGCTTTGAATACAGGGTCTGGGGAAGACCAGAATAATCAAGGAGACTCCTAGAGTTTTAGCATAAGTAGCTAGATAAATAGTTAGGTACCATCTACAAAGATGGGGAAGGCCAGAGGAAGAGTAAGTTTGAGGGAGAAGTGAGGAAGAGTTCTATTTTGGCCATATCAAATTTAAGGTATCTATTATCTATTTAGTCAACAAATATTTATTATTAGCCACTGCTTTGGCCTCTGGGAATATCATATTAACAAAATAGACAAAACTCTGCCTTTTTGGAGTTTATATTCCACTGGATGTTTCAAAAAATAAATAAAAGATCTATAGTGTGTAGATGGTGGTAAATGCTGAAGTAGTATTTGTAATAGTGTGGTTAAATCTGGCAAGTTTTTGCTGTCAAGGGATGTGATAAGAGACTTGAGAAAGGTAAGGGAGTGAGCTCTGCAGATACCTGCTTGAAGAGCCCACTAGACATCCAACTGGAAGTATCAAGTGGAGAGTTAGATGTATATAGGAGTCTGGATTCCAATTAGAAATTGGAGTTGAAGTTACACGTTTGGAAATCAGGCGCGTATGAAATGATATTTCAAATATAGGACCAGGTGTCATCACCAAGGAAAAGTATATAGGTGGAGAAGGGAGAGAATTCCTGTAGCAACCCCGTATTTGAGGGCTGAAGAGAAGACAGCAGGAGAAACTAAGAAGGAACAGCCATTAAAGTAGGAGGAAAAACAGGTATGCATGGTGTCGGAGAAACCAAAAGAGCCATTCAAGAAGAGAATGGTCACCTCTGTTGGATGTTGCTAAGAGTGCAGATAAGGTATGGACAGATGCACTAATTGGATTTGGTAATGTGGAGCTCATGGGTGACCTTGCCAGGAGTAATGTCGGTGGGCAGACAGGGACAGAAAGCCATGAGATTGGTTGAGGAGAGATCGGTGTCGGCATAAAGGGGAGAATTGTAAGGGTGAAGTCCTTGAGAAAGCCAGAGGGGTGGGAGGCAGATCACAAATGGAGAGAGCTTGGCATTTGAAACTTTATCAGTAATAGTAGTAGTAGTAGTAGTAGTAGTAGTAGTAAAAACAGAGTTTGGATACGGATGTGGATAGGTTGGTAGATTTGATGGTGGGATAAGAAGGGAGTTGCTTTCTAATTGCTTCTACTTTTCTCAGCGAGGTAAGTTCATTAAGGGAATCTGGGGAGGGGAGTTTGGAGGGCAGATTTGAAAAGGGAGGAGATGATGTGTAATAGCTGTTGAAGTAAATGCCTGACATATTTAACCTACAAATGGTTCTTCTCAAGTAATGACCCAGTGTGATTTTTCTCTCTCAGCCAAGAGGTTAGAGTCCTACCAGGAAGCTGTCTCTGAAGATGAAGATTCCATAGACACTCCCAGTGACTCCCTCAGCAATATGGCAAAACCGAGGGCCCCCAGCTGCAGGACGGTTCATAATGGGCCCTTGGGAAGTAAATCCTCGAATCATCTTGCTGGGAACTGTTTAGCTCTGGGAAGTGGAGAAGGAGCCAGTGAAGTGCCTCACTCCAGACAGGCTGCTTTCAGTAGCCCCATTGTAAGTGTGAATGCGTGACTTGAATTTTGCATATCCGTCATGAATAATGAAAGAACATCCTCGTAATTATGACAAAGCCGAACACTGTTGTCTTTTCTACCTGAGAAGAGACTACGTAATTGCAGTTTAGTGTAATTGCCACACATCATTAGAAATATAAGCAAACAATATCACGACTTCCTAATTTGTGGGATGATTCAGTGTTGAGAGATAGTATATCATTTCTGAAAAAGCATGGTATTTCTGTTCAGGGCCAATCATGGCTGAGCCTGAAGAAGGCTGCCGGGGTTTAAGGACCAAGGCTCACTCTCAGAGCCAGCAAAGCTTAACAGGGTTATCTCTGACCAGGAAGGATGTCTGAATCACAGGCAAATTCAAGTACCCTCCAAGGCCTTTTTATCTTCCTGCATTCCTCCCCCACATCCCACCACACCTGTGCCCTCTTCTTCCCCTTTCCCAGTCCTCAGAATGACATTTTCTGGTATTTCCATTTTAAAGCTCAGCTGGGTGTTGCTTGATTCCCAGAGGGAAGTTTTGGAAACTGTTTAGTCACACCCACTGACGAACCCATTTTGCTGCAGGAAACTATAGAGGGCCATGCAGAAGATAGGAAAGAGGAACGATACTTCCATGGAAGAGTTAGAGGTCACAAGTTCTGTCGTACTTGAAATTGCTTCTGTAAAAATCCAGCTGCCTTTTCTGCCTTCCACAATTCATTAATACTTGCGTTTTACCAAGATGAGGATTCCCCAGTCATGAGACCAGTAACTGGTTGATGTCTAAAATAGGTGGCCTAACAAGAACGAATCCACTGTGGGGAATCTTTTGTGTTTCTGCATTGAATTTATTGTATGGTTTTCATAGTAGAGATGTGATCTGAGTAGACCGCAGTGGTCTCACTTGTCCCGGAAAGGCCTTAAGGGGACTCTCCTGTTCTTTTCAAAGTTGCCAGTGACAGTTGCAGCAACGAGGGTGATCATTTCAGTGCAACTCATTTAGTTAATTTCTGTGGCATTAAAGATACAAAACCTGTCATATTGTGTCTTTGCCATAGGTCAGACATCTAGACTCGCTTCGGCAGCACATATATCAAACATCTAGACTTAATTTTTCTCCAACTTCTGAAAGACAAATAGGGAAAGAATGCATACAGCCTCTTCTGTGCACTCTCTTTAAGGCTCTATCAGAAAAAGGGGCGCCTGGCTGGCTCAGTTGGTAGAGCGCGTGAGTCTTGATCTCGTTCGGGGTTGTGGGTTCGAGCCCCATGTTGGGTGTAGAGATTACTCGAAAATAAAATCTTTTAAAAAAGGCTATATCAGAAATAGATATCTATTTTCTTCTCTTTTTACCTATTCCTCTACTGATCTTTTACATTTTTCACCCATGTGAAGTTGCCACCTGTTGACTCATGCTTACTTGGAAGTAGTAGGGCATTGGTAACCCAGTGGGGCTATGCCACACCCACCCTTCAGTTTCCTGATTTAGTCTTATTGTCTTCTTAGAAAAAATGATATTTCTGTTCCTTTATCTGTACCATTTCCCTATCTAAAATTTATTCTCCCTACTGGCAACCTACCTCTGTCTACCAAACCTGATGAAATACTTATTTCTTATAAAACTACTTTAAATATTCTTCCTCCTTTTTTTTTTATTATACATGTTTTGTTTTGTTTTTTGAGACAGAGAGAAAGAGCCTGCATGCAAGCGGTGGGAGGGGTTGGCGGGGGGGAGAGCAAGAGGGAAAGAATCCTAAGCAGACTCTGCAGAGCCTGACTCGGGGCTTGATGTCACAACCCTGAGATCACGACCTGAGCTGAAACCAAGAGTCAGTTGCTTAACTGACTGAGACACCCAGGCGCCCCTAGATATTCTTCCTTCTGAAGACTTCTCAGACTCTTCTCAGTTTCTGAGCTCTGTCTACACATTCCCTCCCTTCCTTGGCTCCCATTACACAGGCCTTATTTCTCTCTCTGACATACACCGTTAACTCCTTGAGAGCAAGAACTTATATTTTGACTACTCAACATCTAGCTCAGTGACTTATGTGTCCATTCTCAAGAAGTAGGTTTTTGTTTTTGTTTTTAAGATTTTATTTATTCATTAGAGAAAGAGAGAGCACAAGCAGAGGGAGAGGGAGCAGCAGACTCCCCACTGAGCAGGGAACCCGATGAGGGGCCTGATCCCAGGGTCCTGGGACCTGAGCTGAAAGCAGATGCTTCACTGAGCCACCCAGGTGCCCCTCGAGAAGTAGTTTTGAGGGTTGTTCAATGAAGCTGCTTACCAGGCTCAGTCTCCCCACTCAGTCCATTTTGTTTTTACTTGCCCTATACTTCAAGGCCATGTGTCAGTCTGATTGCATAGGCGCACTGGGGTGGTTGTTTGGTTTTGGGTTTTCAGAACCACACCATTATATATAGGATAAAGAGGTAGGTGTTCCTTGAAATATGAGATCATCTCACTCTTGCTCTAGACAAGTTGAATTTACCCTTTTTGGAGACTTATGATTATTTTGAGAAAGCTTTAGATTCTTTGTCCTGAAAAATTAGCATCTGTAAAAATTTTGCATATAATTGCAGAAGCCTGTCCGTGGAGCCCAGGTTAAGAATACCAGCTTAAGGGTACACTGAGAGCCGTGATGTCTAGAAATGGAAGATTGCAAGATGGCACCTTGGATGGGGAGGCAAGTTGAGAGCCAGGGAGTAAGGATCCTTGGCAGGCTGCTGGCAAAAATATGCCAACCTTTGGTAATTAAATGTCATTGAGGCCCCTGAGTCCTGGGTTCATTTTACCCATTTGAAATAGAAACCTTTTCTTTGTAAGCCAGTGTTTTTGTGCTTCTTTCATCCTCTCTCTGCTTTCATTCAATGAGAGTACTGTTCATTCTACCTGGGTGGTTATTCTCTGAGATCTCTATATGGTTCTCCTTTCTGTCATTGAGGTCTTAGCTTAGATGTCACCTCCTCAGTAAACCTTCCTTACCACCTAATCCCAAGTTCTTTCCACCCTCATCCCCACCCTGTCTCTCTCTGTCTCAGTCTAGAAGCATCTTATTTGTTCACAGGTTAGTGTTTGGATCTGATGTCTTCTCTCATTAGAATGTGAGCTCCATGCAAGCCAGGATCCTATCTGTCCTATGCACCCCTCTTTCCTTGAGGAGTGCCTAACACCACAGATCAACAAAAAGTATTGATGGGATGAATGAATGAATGGCTTAGTGAAAAACGGCAAAATACTAGACACTGGGATATAAAATGAATATGACATGTCCCTGTCCTTCAGTTTTGTTCTAGGTAGAGGAGACAGACATATAAATACATACATATAATCCTGTGTTATAGATGCAGTAATAGTGGGCTAATCCAGAGTAGAGCAAGGGTACAAAGAAGGGAGTGATCAACTCTCAAGGGGTGAGGAGAAAAGAGGTAAAACTTGAGTTAGGATTAAACTAATGAGTAGGGGTTTGCAGAGCAGAAAAAGAAGGAAGAGCATGTGGGGCAGACAATGTATGGCACAGGCAAGGGCTCAGAAACAAGGGGCTGTGGGTGAACGTGCTGTGGGGGAGGAAGGTCCGTGTGTGGTCGTGGGTGCTCGTCTTTTTCCTTCAGGTCTGTGGTGGTCAGGAATCTGAGGGAGCCAGAAGAACACTTGTGTGCGTCCATACTTCAGCCGAAGTTGTCGAGGTGGGCCAGTGAGCCCCTAAAACTGGACTAGGATGGCAGTGGGAAATTAAATAAGAGCCGTGGCTACTGGTGGAACTGGGGGAGGAATGGGGAGCCGTTTTAAGGCCACCCTAAAGCTTCAACCAGCACTATTAGAGGGCAAAGAGGGGTCTTGGCCAGCGTTTGCTTGTTGAATTTGGATACAAATAGAGGGAGAAAAAAGAGAAAGCAACCTGAACGTGAAACCTGCAACCTGGTAGGAAGGCATAATATGAATCCTGAAAATCTAAAATTTTAAAATAGATGTTACATAGGATTCAGACAAAGATGCTGGAGTCCCACCATGAAACCAGATAAGGCTTTGTTTAATTGTAGGAAGCTATCCACATTGTGCTTTATATTCTTTAATTAGGAGGATGACTTTTCTCTTCATTAAAAAAAAAAATGTCTCTTTGAGGCCAAGTGGGAGGGGTTTATGTATGTTTTCTGAAGAGTGACATCTTTTTATTCTGTTTCTCCAGCGCCTACTTGTACAATATAAAATCAGCAAGTGTTTGGTAGTCGTGTACAATAAACTTTTATTCTTCTCCATGTGCTAGGTATTGTGTTAGGGATCCAAAGATCAATATAAGATGGTCCTTCCTTTAAAGGAACTTACAACTCTATGAAGGACACGCTTGTGGAATCATTTAGAGCCGGGTGGTACGGGCCTGGCTCCGGGTGAGAGGAGTTCCAAGAAGGCAGAAGCTGTCTGTCACAGAAAAAAGAGCAAAAACCAATTTTGTAAGACAGGGTCTCAGTGAGGAAGATTTGGGTCTTAGGAAAGGTCTCTGTAGATGCAGTCATAGAGATCAGAATTGCATGTGATAACTCTGTACCTTCTCTTCAGTTCAGCAACTAAATATCTTAGTTACTAGAGATTAACTTATTTGGAGAAACCAACTTCAGGGAAAGAATGGTTCACACCTGCAGCTGCAGTGTGATAGGGATCTTTCCTCAAATCTCAGGGGCTCTTCTTTCATATATTGTGTTACAGTTGTCTTGTGTGGTCCTGAGTTTCTGGATTTTTCTCCAAATTAAGAGGACTTTCTGTAAACACAGTTTTGCTGACCAGAGCCCCAGCTTTGGTGGGCTCTAGTATCTCTTTCTTTTTTTTTTAAGATTTTATTTATTTATTTGACAGAGAGAGAGCACAAGCAGGGTGAGTGGCAGGCAGAGGCAGAGGGAGAAGCAGGCTCCCCGCAGAGCAGGGGGAGCCCGACGCGGGACTCGATCCCAGGACCCTGGGATCATGACCTGAGCCAAAGGCAGTCGCTTAACCGACTGAGCCACCCAGGCGCCCGATGGGCTCTAGTATCTCTTCTTTTCTCATGCTCATGGCCCAGGTTCTCAGTTCATGCAGTCAGCACATGCCCTGACTGGCGTGTGAGACTGACTTTATGTCAATAGTGTTTACCACAAAGGTGGAAGGTAGAAGCCTTTCATTGGTCTTAGATTGATTTTGGGATGCAGTAGAATCCTTACGTCCTGAAGCCAGTTACTAGTGCAGAGATCGTTGATACAGTGAAATCACTAAACGCTTACAAGGTCTCTAACGCAATCCCAAATGTGTTCCAGAGAACAGACGTCTCTAAAAAATTTAATTTGGGAAGCCTGCACATACCTTTTCTTGAAGAGTCCCAATACCCATCAAAGTCTCTGAGAAGGGCTGCAATAAAGAAACCTGTTTAATTTAAACATTTCTTAGAGTTCCATTCTGAAATAAGTTGGGTTTTTGTTTTGTTTTGTTTGGCTTACTGTATATTAGCATTCTGACACAGATGTCTCTGGAAACATTTTCCAACCCATGGAATCTCACAAGCCCTAGATGACACTATAATCAGAGACCTTGATAAATACCATGTAACGAGTTTCCCAAGCATCCCTTGGCTGACTAAGCACTGAGTAAGAAGTCTCTCAGACTTGACCACGCTCTTCTGTTCCCTCTGGCAAGGAGGTCGTTGAGGAAAGGATTGTTCTCTGAAGAACTGAGGGCGCAGGCACCGGCTCAGAGTTACTGTGTATGTGAGACTCATGAGGAAATGTGGCTGACTCATTAGAGAACAGCCATCAGGTTATTGGTGCCTATGAACTCCACCAAACTGCAATAAAATTCAAATTTTGCTAAGTCAAATATCACAGGACAATAGGTATTGATGTATTTAGATAGAAATTTAAGAATGCTTTGTGACAAGGGACACCTGGGTGGCTCAGTCGGTTAAACGTCTGCCTTCGACTCAGGTCATGATCTCAGGGTCCTGGGATCGAGCCCCGCATTGGGCTTCCTGCTCAGCATGGAGCCTGCTTCTCCCTCTCCCTCTACCCTCCCCCCACTCATGCGCACTCTCTGTCTCTCTCTCTCAAATAAATAAAATCTTAAAAAAAAAAAAAAGAATGTGACAGCAGATAGTTTGTACCCATTGTGAGTCTGGTAACCTGCCTGGAGGTTCCTGTTGTGGGTATCTCCTCATTATCTCATCATTTTATACACCCGCCTTGTGATATAGGTGTTATTTTTATTATTGCTCCGAAGAGGAAAATGAAGCTCGGTGGGTTAAGCAAGCTGCCTGAGGCCACCAGCTAGTGTGCAGTGGGTCTAGGACCTGAACCCAAGCCCACGTGATTTTCAGCCCATGCTCTTATTAAGCCTATGGCTAGTTCTCACCAAACTCCTACGCATAAAATACAAGCCATGGTCTTTTGAGTCTAGTATCACATGTCTCACATCTCCATATTTTACTCCTGCCTCTAAATTACCTCTCCTGGCTTTCCTGCAGTCAGTATGCTTTGCCAGCCAACTACATCCACATCTCCTCTAGAATACAGTGACGCTTTTGTGAAAATCTGATTTGTAGCAGATGGTCCCTCTTTTGATTCATCTGAAAAATTTCTAAAGCATTGTCTACATGTTACTGGATTATAAACAGATTTCTACTACAACATTCTTTTGTTAAAACCAGTACTCCTCAGTAGGCGTGAGAAGCACTGTGTTAAACAAAATGGATTTTTTTTTTCAATAGCAGAACTTCTGAGAGCTAATTTGTACTCAGGATCTTTAAGAGGAGGGCACAGGATACAGTTGCCAAATATATTTGATGATCAGAAATCTCTTGGAGGAACCCTCATTAATGTCTTATAGTATATTATTAGGTAATGATCTTTAAATGTGTTCACCTGCTCATACTAATGTTTATTTCAGAGAGGTTCTTTTGTTTGTTTCTGCTTTTGTTTTTATAATAGTAGTGATTCGAACCATAAGATATTTTGTTAAAATAACATGGTATGAATAATGTCCTGACTTAGAGAGTTGGTACTCCTCAGTTGTTGGATGAATCATCACTTGCTGTTAGATGCTCTGGCAACTGTGTATTTCAAAGTAAGAAAACCCATCAACTAGATTTTGGTGGAAGGCATTGTTCCTGTCTCTTGCTGAGTTTAATAATCAAGATACTTTCCATCAGTATTATGCATTCTGGATTTTTCCCTTATTTTTTGGGGTCTGTTTTCCTATTCTCACTTCCCTTGGCACCATATATATTAAGTCTTTTTTAGAAGAATAACGTTTACTATCTCATGGTTCATAGATTCTGCTTATAAAAGCTACTTCTCATGTCAATTTAAAGCTCTCATTGTAAGATACTTATTGTAATAACACTTTGTCTTATTGGGTTTTCAGGAAACAGATGTGGTGCCAGACACCAGGCTTTTGGACAAGTTTAGTCAGATTACACCTCAGCTTTTTACCGCACTAGATGAGACTACCCCAGATCCACCACTGGAGACCTTGTACATCATAGACTTCTTTATTGCATTGGCAATTTGCAACACGGTAGTGGTTTCTGCTCCTAACCAACCACGACAAAAGGTAAGGTCTCTAATGCAAACAAGGATTATTTTCCAGAAGAGAACTTTGGGTTTAAATGTACTTATACTGGCCTTGTTATGTAGATAATACTACTAAATGATAATAACAGTAGCAGCTAACATATATCACTTAATCTGTGCTCTGCACATACGATATTCTAAGTGATTTACTGATATTAACATGTTATCTTCCCAGCAACCCCATAAGTTAGGTAATATTACTCCACTATTCCCCATTTTATAATTGAGGTTAAGTAACTTTCCTGGGGTCACAGGGCCAATTTGTGGGGTAAGTGAGATTTGAACCCATGAAGTATGGCTCAGTGCTGTTCTACTGTTTTGCCTCTAGGAGGATAGCTGATGAGAACAGCTCTAGTAGAATGTGGCTGTGTTCATTTTGCCTAGTTTTCCTTCCCAAACTGAAGCTTCTGAGACTTCCCGCATCATATGCATTATGTCAAGCAAAATGTAAAGTATTGGGTTCATTATCATGTCTAATGACAATGTACCATTTTCATATACCAGTTGGGGTAGTTCTAACTAACTCAATTTAAAATCCAATACATTTATAAGGTACCAGGATGCTGCAGTTCCCACAAAAGCTAGATTTAAAAAGTCTATTTGTAGTTTAGAATTTATGGAAAAATTCATTTTCAATTAAAAAGAAAAACTTGTTTTAGAGACCGGTGATTGACCACATGCTGTGCTGGCCTCCTTGTGTATAATAACTTTCTCCCCTTTTGCACATATCCACTTAAAACTCAATTTGTGGCACAACCCAATTAAATTTTAATTTTCCATCAGATCATTTTCTTTTGGCAACTTCAGAGGTGGTCAACTTTAACATAAAAATAACTTATTTCCAATTAAGCTTTTATTTGATCAGAAAACTGTGTTTTTATAAGACTTTCAGCTAGAGAGTTGCTCTTTGGAATGTGATTATGTAATTAGAGAATAAATCACTGGATGTTCTTTTTTCTCCTCATGTAACAATTTTTCTCATATCCGTTTCCAAAGTAGACACTTCTTAGTGTTTTTTGTTTGAAAAATATTGTTGCCTTATCCCCAAAGACTATAATACCCTGTGGTCTGAAAGAAGGTCTCTACCGGTATAAGAACCTAAAAGTTTGATGATATTTTGAGGTAATGACAGAGACTGAATAATAAGGAGTTAATCAGAACCTACAGAGTATGAAACCTCATCTGTGATTGTTTCTCTTCATTTCTGAGTTCTGATACGTGTGAAAATTGACCAACATGTGTTTCTCCAACTGTCAGAAGATTAATCATTTTTAGGAAAAAACTTTTTAATATCTTGGGTATTTCTGAATGAGAAAATTTTAGGATCTAATTAATTGGCCTTCATAATATTAAATTCTACATTTAATCACTGTTAAAATTAAGAGCTAGCAAAAAAATCAGGCTAAAAGTTACAAAAAATTCTGCAATAGAAATTCACATTCATTGTGATTTTCTGCTGATAAGCGGATAATTTCTGCTGATAACTCTTCTGTAAGTGACTTTGTTTACCGGCCTTTTTAAAACAACAGAAAAGTCGTCGTCACAACCTTTTATAGAATCTTGAAAATAAAAGAGGAGAAAAGCCCATTTTAATCTTTTGACTTACTTTCTTCCAGGGTTTTAAAATGTGTATTATTACTCATTTGTTTCTTATATTGCCTCACACAATTTTTAAAATTTTTAAGTTGTTTACACAATTTTTATATTTTTATAGCTTTTCCAATTTCACCCCATAGATTTTGTACATTTTATTTTTAAAATATTGTATAACATTTCAAGAAGATATTTCTGTTTTGCTATTTTTGAATACTTATTTTGCTTACAATTTTTAAATTGCTATTGCTAGGATGTACATACTAAAGATTATGGATTATCTATATTTTAAGTTATTCATTAGGAAACACTGCTGTAATATGCCCACTACTAGCAATATTAGCATTTTATATCTTTTGCTATCATTTGTCAGATCTCTTTCTGAATGGCTGTACAAATTTACAGTTCCATCAACATTAGCACATATTTTTCATTATGGTCATTTTTATTTTTGCTAATATTTTCGGGGGGGCAGTTTTAAGTATGAAGCGGGCTGCTAGCTATTTAAGGAGTGGTAACTCTTTTCTTATCTAAGTTTTTCCTGGTTTGACTTCAACATTGTTGTCAACCGCTTTTGGCTCCATCTATGAGACCCTCCCAAATCATCTCTCCTAGATTGGACTCTCATCACTGAGTGGAATGCCTATAAAGTCCTTGGAAGAGATTAAAAACCTCTTCCAGAGATGGTCTGTCCGAAGATCAAGTTCGCCATCTCTCGCCAGCGGGAAAGAGCCCTCTCCTGGGGTCCCAAATGCCTTTGTGAGCAGACTCTCCCTCTTCAGTCGAATGAAACTGGCTTCGCCTGTGGAGGAAGAGGCCCCCCACACAAGCGAGAGCCCCCAGGGCTCTGGTAACTCTTCTTGCCCTACAGAAACTGAGCAACAGAACAGGGATCCGGGCCTCCCAGAGGGCGAGGTAGCACCCTCCCCCGGGCAGCCGTCGGCCTCCACCCTGTGTTATGAGGCCGAGAGCCCCGATGAAGCGGCCTTGGTGTATGCCGCCAGGGCCTACCAATGCACTTTACGGTCCCGGACACCAGAGCAGGTCGTGGTGGACTTCGGTGCTCTGGGGCCATTAACGTTTCAGCTCCTGCACATCCTGCCCTTCGACTCAGTAAGAAAGAGAATGTCTGTTGTCGTTCGGCACCCCCTTTCCAACCAAGTCGTGGTGTATACGAAGGGTGCTGATTCGGCCATCATGGAGTTGCTCTCAGTGGCTTCCCCAGGTGAGTTCATACTGGGGGGGGAGGGGGGCGTATATTCAGGGCTCAGAAATTCCAAGGCCACTCTCGATGGGCTTTGTAAAGAGAAACACGTGGATGTTTGGGGATCAGCTGCACTTGGTAAAGTGGGGGAAGCTGCCTAGGATTTGGTGAGAAAGCATGGAAGTTTTGGTGCTACACAGACCTGGGTGCAGATCTGGCCTCTGCCATTAGCGGTGTCTTGGTAAAGTTACCTAGCATTCTGTGTTCAACAAATGGGGAGTGTCGCACCCTTTTTCTAGGTTCCTCGGAGGTTTAATGGCGTACTGTATGCAATATACATAGAGCCTTTGCCCAAATGGCGAGTGTTCAGTGAGTGGCAGTTAGCATATTACAGTTCTTGTTACTGTTGTTACTGACGGTGTGGGGATGGTGTTCATAATTAAGTTCTTGGTACTTTTCCTCTCCCCAGGAAGAAAGAAACAAGGGAAAGATTTATTCACAGGGTCCCTTTTATAAATGTACATTTGGGATTCAGAACCACAAGGTCTTTTGTTTGTTGTGGGATAAACTGTATCATTGTTTGCAAAAACATGTCTGTGATTGGGCAGACTGGTGGGAATACTTGTTTTGTTAATTATTTCAGATGGAGCAAGTCTGGAGAAACAGCAGATGATAATAAGGGAGAAAACCCAGAAACACTTGGATGACTATGCCAGACGGGGCCTACGCACTTTATGTATAGCGAAGAAGGTGAGGCTGCTTAGTTAGGCCCATCGTCTTCATTCTTTCGCTTGTGTAGCCCTCACTTCTTGGGGTCGAGCATGTATCAAACCCTAATCTGCACAGTTGGGAAAGCTCTTGGATCGTGGGCTCTCTACTCACAGCGTCGGTCTTCCATATATATTGATTGGTTGGAGTTTGTTCTCAGTGTTTTGCCAGAAGAATATCTAAAAGTTCTGTTCTCCGAGTTCTCACCTGTTTCAGTGTATTGTGAGTGCTTTTGTATGTTCACTGCAGTTTGGCTGGAAATAAAAATCCCTGGACCTACTTTCTTTTCCCTCAGTACTTCGTAAATATCATTCCTGCATTAAATGTTCTTTGGAAAGAATGAGGCCAGAGACTGACCTTAATTTTCCCCTAAAGTTCTAAATATTTTTTTCCTTACATGCCTATAAGTCTTTTCTATAAATCCAAGTAATTTTACTAAATGTTATGTCAGTATTGATTATTCCCTTGTTGATAATAATCCTGAGATGTAGTGTATTCTTTCTAAAAAATTTAAGTAATAAGAAAGAAGACAGAGCTCTAAGAAATTGAGGGGTGATATTACCAGAACCTCCCCTGGGGACATGGGAGAAACAGACATGGAGCACTTTAAAGTGAATTGGTCAAGTTTTTATGCCAGTAGGATGTGGTTTGGGTATTGACCAAGTCAAGCTTCTCAGCCCCAATGAGGCTATGCAAGCCTTCCTTCATTGATAAGCCAAGACTTCCCCAGAGCTATCCCTGTAATTATGGCTCAACCACATAGCCAACTGAATACCTGGATAGTGCTTTTTCCTTCAGTGAAAGCTCAACTGCCTGTTTTATTTCAGAGTAGATGAGGGGACAGCAGAAAGGGTGGGGGTCTGCTTAGAGTCTAGTATATAGTATAGAGAGTCTAGTAGGGGTTGAGACAAGAGAAGGATGTCTTATGGAGAGAGAAGAGAGTTAGTTGTAAAGGTATAACAGAGACTTTGATGAACACTGAAGAACATGAAACAAAGAACAACCAGCCCATGTAGGGGAAATATTAGAAAAGAACCAAGAAATTCATCTTGCCACCTCTTCCCTCTTCTCCATATAAACACTCCCCCACCCCACTTTCTCTCCCTCTCTCCCTCTAAACCCTGCATTTAATTTTTGCTGTGTTAGAAGCCAGAGTATCGATTTCCCTCTGTCATTCTGGGCTCTAGTGAGTATAAAAGACAGGGAAATACATGTAGATCAAAGTATCAATGCATGAGTTGCCATCCATTATGATTTCCAAAATACAAGCCTCCTGGAAGCCTGAATTAGAGACTGTAGCTAGGACCTAAGGCAAACATAGGGATCTCTCATTTCTTACCCAAATTCTAGTTCTTACGAGCTGCCTTGGGGAAACTGGGATCTGTTGCAGACTCTTAGTCAACACTTAGTCAACCAGCTGCGTAGAGAATCAAAATCTGCCTCACACACAGTAGAACGAAGAACGGAGTTTCAAGATCAAAGCAAAAGGAGAGAGTTCTGCCTTTTCAAGTGAAATGATCCTGCCCCTGATAAAAATGCAGCCCAGTAGATGTCAAATTCTTCCTAAGTCCAGTAACCTTGTGGGTAAGAGTAAATAGAGAAATTGCCTCACTCCCTCTATTTCATATTGCTTTATGAGAATTGAAACGTAGATTTCTCCCTCTACGGCAACCTAAAGAAAAGGGGAAATGTACCATTGGTTCCTTCTCCAGAAATTCCATTTAGTTTCTTTTGGAAGGGTACGTCCTTGCTTTGTTGTATGGCTTCCTCTCTCTTCTCACCTTTACCAATAACTCACCCATAAACTAATCATCAGACATTATCGGTGGTGCTGCTGGCTACCTAATACCTCAAACTGAGCAATCCTGACACTACTTTCTCAACTGCATCATTAGGATCTTTCTAGATTTAACTACCAAGTGGAGACCTCTTCCAACTGCATACTTCCTGGCTTAATTGAATAGATTAACCCACTTTCATCATATCTGATGCCTAGGATTTCCAAGAGATACTGAGCTAGCGGGTCCATCCATCATCAGTGTTACAGTAGTCTGATCTCAGAAAGCTTGTGACCAGGTGGCATGAGGAATGAACCCGGCATTACCTGGCTTGATATTTTGCTAGTGGTCAGTCAATCCTTGCAGGATCCCACAAGATGATATGGCCTTTCTCATAGCTCTTTTCTCCCCCTTCCCCCCCACCCCCCGTAGGTCATGAGTGACACTGAATATGCAGAGTGGCTGAGGAACCATTTTTTAGCTGAAACCAGCATTGACCACAGGGAAGAATTACTCCTTGAATCTGCCATGAGGTTGGAGAACAAGCTCACTTTACTTGGTAGGTAGACCATGTTGTATCGTCTGAATAGAGAAATTTGGAAAACACTGGATAGCTCTAAGTAGGTTATTCACCAGTGGTTCCCACCCCCCAACTTTGATCTAATAGAGCAAATAGTTCTCTCCACCCTGTCCAGTCTGATCTGTACCCAGTTTCCAATTCTTTTCCTTCTGCTTTCCACTGTAGTGAACTCGACTTCATTTGTGGTGGGATCAGGGTGGTTATCCTTAAGAAGATCATTTAAAACCTGATCACTTAACATAGAATACCAAGTCAAATAAATATCCTGGTTCAAGAGGCTATCCAGTTGAAGTTGATTGCCAGGCATTGGATAAGGTACTTAGTATGTGTGGTCTTTTGAATCTGCACAACAAATCTCTATCTTAGGGGAAATTTAGAGCACAGAGCAGTTCATTGACTTGTTCACAGTCAGATGCTAATAGTTGACAGAGCTAGAAGGAGACTCAGATCTACCTAGTTCCAGGGCCCACGTTCTTTATTCTGTACCCACAACCGGACCAATGAAATTTGTTTCTCTCTCTTCTCTTACTTCCTGATTGCAGCTAAAGTTTGCACAACGGACACCTCTTGTCTCAAACTGAGCTTTATCCTGAAATCATATGGAACACTTTAAAAAATACTGGTGACTGCATCCTTTCTCAGAGATTCTGATTCAGTTGGTCTGACATGTGGCTGGGGTGTTTGAATATTTAAAAGCCCCCCAAGGAATTCTAAGAGGCAGCCAGGGTTGAGAACCACTGTCTCAGAGTCTGGAGATCTGGACTAACATACCAAAAGACCAGTCTCTGAGCTCCATTCCTCTGGTTCACAGAAAAAAAATGATCTCACTTGGTGTGAAGCCAGAAGAGTAATGATACTTGATCTATGTCATTTCTCTTAACAGTGTCTGTAGTATGGGTCCACATTTCCTCATGTGAAATTCCAAACTCAAAAATGCTCTGTGGGTTTAGTGCCGGAACTCATTTGGCTACAGAATCAGGCCTGATTTGTTAAGATTTTATGAGTCTTTATTATCCTAATTAGTATGAACATTTGTAAGTTTTGCTACAGAAATATTAATATGCTTCATCAGCAGATATTTCAAAACATAGATACACTATGTTATCTTTCTAAAATCTGAAAAACTTTTGAATTCCAAAACTTATCTGGCCCCGGTTGGTTTAGAAGACAGACTTACGGACTTGTAATATCTGTTTTCAATGCTCTTTCATAATATAAGCAACATATTGTCAAGGACACTCTTTAAAAGCCTGCCCTTAGCCTTGGGAGCATCACAGAATTATAAAATTATAGAGCAAGGTTAAATAAGTGCCTGAAACTACAAGCTCCCCTCAATTTACAGAGAAGAAAGCTAGGCGAAAGGAGAACAAGTAAGTTTAATAAGCTCAGTGATTCCTAAGGCTTCCTTCCCAAAATACGACATTGTATATGATTTTGGTCTGGGTCTTCACACTTCCTTTGAATGCCTGGAAAATACTGGAGCAATGTGTAGCTCAGGATGGGGTTGCCTAACAGAGTTCAACTGCAGCCTAGATGAGCTTCTGCTGTCTTTGATTTCTCGCAAGCCCTGTTGCACTCTGGCTGTCTTGTAGGTGCTACAGGCATTGAAGACCGTCTGCAGGAGGGAGTCCCTGAGTCCATCGAAGCCCTTCAGAAAGCTGGCATCAAGATCTGGATGCTGACAGGGGACAAGCAGGAGACAGCTATCAATGTAGCTTATGCGTGCAAACTACTGGAGCCGGGTGACAAGCTCTTTATCCTCAATACCCAGAGTAAAGTAGGTATAACGAGATTGAATCCGTCTTTTTGCTTTTTCGTAGCCAGGGGAGCATTTGTGATTTGATGAAGGTAAGGAGAAAAAAAACCCAGTAACCATTAGCTCCTTGATAATTATGTCTTCTACCCAGCAGCCTACCTTGTGCCTTGGAAGGTACCGTAGTTCTTCTAAAGGCTTCACGGTTAAACATTAATTCAAAGGAATTACTGCTAAAGAAAGTTGCCTTTTTATTTTTTTATTTGCTTTTTTTCTTCCCCGCCCCCTCCACATTGGATTTCAAGGGATTTAAGATTTAGCCCATAATGACAAAATGTATCAAGTTCTGGGACAGGAATATACCTCTCTTTCAAATTGAGGGGAAGTGATGATTTCTGTCAGAATCAGGTGAACACATTAATATTTTTATGGTTAATTACAAAAATAGACTCTCAGGATAATTATGCCCTCTAGTGGCAATTCTTAGATATAGTGCTGTTAAGAATATCAAGTTTGAAGAACTGTTTTATGGGAAGGGAAAATTTTTTTTTTTCCCCTTCAGAAGGAATTTAAGAGGTTTGGATCCAGCTTATTTTTTTATAGTTATCCCTGCCTCACCCCCATTAATCTCTAGCACAGGTTCTAATCAGTTAAACAGGCATTTTTTTTTTAAATTTTCCAATATCGTAATATTCTCTGAGATTTGTGCATGTTATTTAATTAGCTTGGAAAACCTTCCTCTCTCCTTTCTCAATAGTCAGACTTAATCAATGACATCCAGGGCGCCTGGGTGGCTCAGTTGGTTAAGCGACTGCCTTCGGCTCAGGTCATGATCTTGGAGTCCCTGGATCGAGTCCCACATCAGGCTCCCTGCTCGGCAGGGAGTCTGCTTCTCCCTCTGACCCTCCCCCCTCTCATGTGCTTGCTCTCTCTCATTCTCTCTCTCTCAAATAAATAAATAAAATTAAAAAAAAAAATCAATGACATCCATTCGCTGACAGCAACCTGCCTCTCAGAAATCCTCTGGAGCTTCTCATCTGGATCACATCTTGGGGCTCTGTCACAGGCTGCCATGTTTGGTTAGCCATGTTTTTAAGGTCAGGCCTCAGCCAATACCTAAGCAGATCGTACATTTTCAGGAAAGAGAATTTTCCTTATTCAACACAGAATGGGTTATCCTTGGCAGTTGGCTGTCGCCCAGACCCATAACCACAACCACCAGGCAGCCCCTACAGTACCAGCAGGGCCTGAGCATAAGAAAATTGTCCATTAGTCATTTTGGTCACTAAAACGGCTGTGCACTAAGGTTGGTAAGCCCCTGGCTCGTGTGCTTGGCCTGCCCGTGACCAGGTATGTGACCGTGGGGAGTTTTCTTCTGGGCCTTTTACTTCACCTGTGATGTAAGAGTAATACCTATTTCATAGGGTCATTGTGGGCATGAAATGAGAAAATATAGATTATAAATTAAACATGCAGTGCCTGGCAGACGGAAGGGGCTCAATGAACATTAAAAAAGAAAAGTCAATTCTTGATGTTTGATTTTGACATTTTTGTGAGTAGTAAAATCATTAGGATTGTAGAACTTACTTGTAAACCTGTGATTTATAGTTAGAGGCATTTAAAACTTAACAATTCAGGAAGTCTTTATGGAGTATCCACTATGGACTGTTCTAAGTGCAAAAAGTAAATTTTTTTTTTTACTATCAAAAGCTATTCTACCTTGTGTGAATTTTCCAGATAACTAAACAGAACACAGTGAACGTAATTTAGTTTTATGGTGACTCAAGTCCAAGCATATAAAATGCCAGGCACATAGTAGGGGCTCAGTCACTGTATTCTTTTCTTTTCTTTTTTTTCCTCCACTTCTTCCTCTCCATCAGGAGATGCTAAGAGTTAACAAAAAGAAAGATCATGGAACCTGCTTTGTCAGTTAGTGAAGAAATTGCTTCTGTGACATTCTAAGTGGGCCACCTGGAAACCAGTAGAGTATCTGGTCATTTTTGTAGTGTAGTACTGCAGCTTTATGAATTTCCATCAGCTCCTGTTCCTAAATTTGCAAGTTGGATTACAGTAAATGTAGCCACTTATAAACTTTACATGGTTTCCATTCTCATAATAGTCTTGGGGTTTTTTTCAGGGCAGGGGGTTAATACAAACCTATCTTGGATTAATTTTTTTTTAAGATTTTACTTATTTGAGGTAGAGAAAGAGAGAGCATGGGTGGGGGGAAGGGGCAGAGGGAGAGGCAGAAGCAGGCTCCCTGCTGAGCAGGGAGCCCGATATGGGGCTCGATCCCAGGACCCTGAGATCATGACCTGAGCCGAAGGCAGGTGCTTAACCGACAGAGCCACCCAGGCGCCCCCATATCTTGGATTATTTACTGCCTTGTGATACATAAAGCCCTTTCGGGATCCATCATTTAATTTTTTAAGTTTTATTTTTATGATTTCATTTAAAAATTTCTCCTGAGATAGTAACTCTTTATTTTCATGTTAATTAGAATCTATAACAGACTTTCTCATACAAGATCTTACTTGACAGTTATAAAGGGTAGACAGATCAGATAAAATTATCCTCATTTTTATAGTCTGAAACTCCAAAAGGTTGTGATTTGTCTAAGTATCCCCAGCTGATTACGTGTCAAGTGTACATTTTGTATTGTATTATATATTATGTAATCTGTATTTACCTATCTATAGTTATTCTCATTATTCATGGGGTTAAATTCTATAAAGTTGTCCTAAACACTGCATTAGTGAATATGGAACCATTACCCCTGGGGGGAAATATAGGTTCCCATAGGCCTTTGGTCACAACATTTTGTTTTGTCAACCAGTCAATATATAACTTTATTCCACGTGTGTTTCTGTTTAACAACAACTTACTCTGTGTGTATAGTTGATTCAGTAACATCGAATTCATGGCCAGCAGCACCATAACTCATGCCTGCCTGAAGCTTATCTAACACACATACTTTCTCTGCAAGGCACATCACAACCTTCTTGTACATAGGATCACTAGACAGCACTTCGGCACTGGGCATGGAGGCCATTTAAACCACAAAATCAACAAAAAGCGGAAACATACAGAAAATGTGTCACCAAACAGTGAAAGGGACACTTATTTACGGTATGGGAGCTGACGTATGAAGACAGAGCATCTCCTCATTCAGTGGCAGCTGGAATCCTATCACATGACTCAAATTTTTCTCTCTGTGCATGTCCACAAATGACCACAAAAGCACTACAAATACTGATGATAGCATTCCAGATAAATTTTAGCAAGTAGGTGAATTCACATATATGGAATCTGCAAATAAGGAAATTGAGTATGTGTGTGTATATTTATACATATTTCTATAATGAAAATGTAATTTATAAAACTAAATATATACTCGAAAGGATAAAAACATCTATAATCATTCTAGAATCATAAAACTACAGATAATTTAGGTTTATATTTTGGAGGGCATCCACTCAAGACTATTCTGTGCACTATGAGCATGCAAAGTCTGTATTTATAGTATTGTATTTTTTCACTTAATGTATACCTTCAATATCATCATGTTGATATGCTGATTTTCAATGACTTCAGGGTGTGTTACCTTCTAAATGTATCATTTTAATGTAACCAAACTCTAGAAGGTTTTTAAAAATAATCTTTTGCTGTTACGTGTTGAGCCTATGAAGGGCATATTTGATTCGCCTTCACACATTTTTTCCTAGGAGGTTTTTGAGGTGTATAGGATCAGATTTGTTCCTAAGGTACAGGTTGCTGGGTAGCTCCGTTTTAAAAGTTGGACCTCTTGGGTGCCTGGCTGGCTCAGTTGGGTAAGCATCTGCCTTCAGCTCAGGTCAGGATCCCAGGGTCCTGGGATCGAGCGCCATATCAGGCTCCCTGCTCAGTGGGGAGCCTGCTTTTCCCTCTCCCCCTCCCCCTGCTTGTGCTCATTCTCTCTCTCTCTCGCTATCAGATAAATAAAATCTTTAAAAATAAAAGTTGGAACTCTTTTTTTTTTTTAAGATTTTTTATTTATTTATTTGACAGAGAGAGCGAGAGCAGGAACACAAGCAGGGGGAATGGGAGAGGGAGAAGCAGACTCCCCGCCGAGCAGGGAGCCCAATGCAAGGCTTGATCCCGGGACTCTGGGATCATGACCTGAGCCGAAGGCAGACGCTTAACGACTGAGCCACCCAGGCGCCCCTAAAGTTGGAACTCTTGTGTGTAGCTTCTGTAGTTATTAAGTCTTTGTAGTGTCAAGCTACGTATCCATATCTACTTCCCTATCCATTTGATTTCGTTGTGGGTTGAGAAATGCTTAATTAAACAGCATTTGAAATAAGAGTGAATGACCTCTGAGTGAGGGATTCTCTTACGAATCAACTTTCAATTTTGTTTGTTTTTTTCTTTCAGTCTTAATGTCTAAACTTAAATGCAAGACTCCTGGATTTTGTTAGGTTCTGTCCTTGGTGGTCACTTGACACAGTAATTTCTGGATAATTTTATTGTTAGTCTTCTTGAGTAGAATCCGTCCAGTGAGTATTCATTGTCTGATGTGGCTCTCTTTTAGGCATTGTGAAGGCTTCAAAAGTAAATTAAAAATGATCTCTGTAGTATTTCCTGACTATGTGGGGGTGAGGAGAGTGGAGGGAAGCACACAAACCAAACATGACAAGCACCACTGAGAACATCTCAACCAGAATGTAAGCTCCATGAGAGCAGGGATTTTTTGTGTGTGTGTGCTCGTTGACCAATCCCCAGCACCTAGGATGTTTTCTAGTATAAGGTGGTTTCTCAATAAATATTCAGTGAATGAATGAATGAATGTTGTCCAAAAGAAGATAAAAGTACTAACTATTGCTTTAAATTCTGTGCCATGCCTACACGAGGAGCTTTGCACATGTTCTCTCCCTTATTCTTCACAATGACATTACCATGTGTAGACATTTGCATTTTTCACGTGAGAAAGTTGAGGCTCAGAGAGGTGACATAATTTGCCTCGAGTCAAGCATAGTGAGTGTAGAAAAAGACCAAAGGGCTCTTGAGAATCCCTGTGTGAGAAGGGAAATTGTACAAATAAAGAAATTCTACGTTATTTTTTTTGTTGTAGAACCGGGAGTGAGATGTGTTCTGTCCTATTCACTGGTCCCCACATATACACGGAAATCTCTGCAGAAGAGCTGGGAGGTCTTCAGAAGTAGCTAATTACTCACTAGCCTTGACACAGCGGTGGCTAAAGTTAAATTTAGCTGGATATGGCCGCCAGGGGAGCCCTGAGCCTAACTGTCTTGGCCTCTTGTTTCAAGGATGCCTGTGAGACGCTGATGAGCACCATTTTGAAAGAACTTCAGGAGAAGAATCCCACCTCTCCAGAGCGAGCATCCCTAAGGGAAGGCTTACAGCACACACAGGACTGCGGGCTTCGGGCTGGCCTCATCATCACTGGGAAGGCCCTGCAGTGCACCCTACAGGAGGGGCTGCAGAGGCAGTTCCTGGAGCTGACTGCCTGCTGTCAGGCCGTGGTCTGCTGCCGAGCCACCCCCCTGCAGAAGAGCGAAGTGGTGAAGCTGGTTCGCAGCCATCTGCGGGTGATGACGCTGGCCATCGGTGAGTGGGGAGGGGATCCAGCCGCGGGCTGCTCACTCTCCTGCCCCACCGGGGGATTGATTCTTCTGTCTGTCCTTCCTTCCGTGTGTCCTACGTCCGTTTACCCTTCTGTCTGTCCTTTTCCACCCCCACATTCCTTCCCCCTTTTCTCCCTTCGTACTCTCTGCCCCCTACTCCCTCCCCCTTTCTCTTCCTCACCTCTTTGACCACCCACTATGAACCACGGGGTAGGGGTGTGACATGGAAAGCAATACGGTAGGGCCTTGGGTTGCATGTCAGAACCCCAGATCAACTAAGTTAAGGAGGGTAAATGTACTGAATCATAGAATTGAAAAGTCTTAAGAGTGCCACCTTGAGAAAAGTTAAATTCAGGGGCATGAACAAATCATTTATGCATTCATTCAACAGGTATTTATTGAGTGCCTTCCGTTTACCGGACATTTTGCTAGGCAGTGGAGATAAAAGAGTGTATACAGTGGACAAAGTACTTTTTCCTTGAGCTTACATTCAGTAGGAGGCATATAATAAAAAATGAAACAAAACAAAAAAGGCATAAATATATATCAGGCAGTGACAAGTGCTATTAAAAAAAATAAAAGCAGAGCCAGGATATGTAGAACGCTGGGGGGACAGGAGGAGGGCTGCTAACTTCAGTGTTTTTCCAAGACCGTATCACTGAGAAGGCTGCATGTGGGCAGAGACTTGAAGAGAATGATAAGGGAGCCATGGGAAATCTGAGGGGAGGACATTCCTGGTGAGGACAGGGAAAGTGAAGGCCATGGGCCAAGTTGTTTTTTTTTTTAGTGGGGGGAGGGAGAGGGAGAGAGAGAATCTCTCTCTTCCTTGAGTTCCCAAGGAAAATCAGGATACTGAAAACAGGTGAATGGTTGGTGGGTAGTTGGGAACAACAAATGTTCATCACCAACAGGAATGTAATACTTCCCCTTAAGAAGCTTCCAGTATGTTGGGGAGACCAAGAACTATATAGCAACCATAATATCATATGTATGATATAGCACTGGAGTCCAAGGAAGAGGCATCTAATCTAAAGGGAATATGAAGGTTTCCCAGAGGAAGTGACATCTGAGCTGAGGGCAAGAGCAATGGAAATCCAGCCCCGAGAGGTGGGGGTGATGAGGCCAGTGTTACAAGGATACAGAAACCACATGTGCGGTGGCTGGAAGGAGCAGAGATATCTGGAAAATTGAAAGTAAAGTTAGTGGCACGGAAAAGAGGGAGATCAGTCCAGATAGGTGCCTTAGCGTGAAAGATTTTAAGGCATTACTGAGTTTAGAATTCTTCCTGATGGCAGCGGGATGCGACATGTAATGTCTGTTTCACTAGCTTCCAGGTAACTTGCAGACTTGGGATAAACTTTGAAGGATTTGTTTGCTTGAGTGGTCACTGTTGCTTTGCAGAGTTTGCGTCTTCTCTTTGCCTTTCATATGCTTCTTGCCTTTTCTTCGGTCTCCTGAAGGTGATGGTGCCAATGATGTTAGCATGATTCAAGTGGCAGACATTGGGATTGGGATCTCAGGTCAAGAAGGCATGCAGGTGAGTGGATTTCGTGCACCCAAGTACCGTGAACTTCACCTGCCCATCCAAGGGCAACATTCCCACGGTGAAATCTCTGTGTAAAGTGAGGCCGGCCGTGGCTAGATCAGGAGTGGGAGACAGGAATTATGTCTATTGATTATTTACTGCGTGAGTACTGGGGTGTTTTCCTGGGTAATTCTAACTGCGTGCTCATTCAGTTTAAAATCTATAGCTCCTCTAGATCCTAATAATATATATATTTAGCCCTGCCGTAACTGTGTGACTTTGGACACCGATGAAAGCTACTAAAGTAGGATTTGAATAAAAGACCTACAGACCTCAAGAGGGAGGGAGGAAGATGGTACTTGAGAATGAGGGAGAGGGGAGGGTCCTATCTGTACGTGTGTGTGCGCACATGTGTGCATATTGGATAGTGTGTTTGGGCACAAAAGTCCGATAAAAGCTTGTCCAAAGACTGCTTTTCATGTATGGAGCAAACGCCGTCAGAGGAAGATCGGACATGAGGCTTGGGGTTTTCAGAGAATTGTAAATTATGACATTCTCTGCAAACCTTGAGAAATTCATGAAGTCATGACTACGGTCCTTTCAATATTCTTCTCATTGAGGAGAAGCGGATGCCAATGGCAGCGCGTGGCGTTCTTGCTAAGGGAGCTGCTTTCCAGGAAAGTACATTTGCCAAAATTCCATCCCGAGTGGGATCCAAAGAGAAGTCTTGTTTCGTGGGACCCTACTGGAAAGCTGACTGTGGCTCTGTGTTCATGAGTTTCTGTTTGTTTGGGTTTGCTTTGTTTTGTGTGGGTCTGCACGGACGGTTTAAACAACAGATTGGACCGGTCTCAGCCTGCCGATGGTCAGGCTGCCCGGCTGCGTCTGCGTTAACATGTCCCATGGCTCACGGTGGCGTCCTGTCCCCGTTACCTTTGCAGGCGGTGATGGCCAGCGACTTTGCCATTGCTCAGTTTAAGCATCTCGGCAGGCTCCTGCTTGTCCACGGGCACTGGTGTTACACACGACTCTCCAACATGATTCTCTATTTTTTCTACAAGAACGTGGTACGTAGCTCTGGAGAATTTGTCCCTTCCCCCCTCCTCCCTTTCTTCTCCTGCTTGCGGAAGGGATGGCGAGGAAGGCCCTGAGTGAGGCTGCTTGGCTTACTGATGTTTGGGAAGCTGCCAGGAGCACTCGGGCCGCCGTCCTGGAAATAATCTGGGGACGCGCTACGGTTCAGCCACTGACAGCAAATCGCTGGGCTTGTCCCTCTGCCGGCATTTCCTATTCCCTGTGCTTTTCCATTCAATTAAGTCCTGTCTGGTTCATTTAAGACCCAGTTTTTGACCTTCCGTGGAAAGGTGGTGGCAAGCAGAATTAGGAAATGTTTAATGCTGTCAGTAGAGAATGAGAAGGTTTGCTTCCATTTTCCAGGAGATAGCAAAAACTATCTGCTGTCCTCAGACTGATGTTCCATGTTGTATATTGAAGACACAGATGCCGCTGAAAACCCAGGATCACGCCTTGGCCTGTAGCTGGCTAACACAAGTGAAGAATTTTCTAGCAAGCCTGTAAAATGGATTTGCGCTTGGTGGCCAGGGAACTTAATTTTGACTATGTCATTCCTAAAGGGGCAGAATTTGATGAGAAGCCCTAGCTTCTAATCTTTGGCATGCCGTTTAAATTTCAGTCTCCTCTTTTATAAGATCATGTGGACCTTAGATTGCTTCACTTAAGTTCCTTCTACCTGGAGTGATTATGTAAAAATGTCACGATTTTCTAGACCAAATTTATTTTTAGCCTTCAAAGTCCATAGGTAGCGTGTTAATAGTAAACATCAATTTATATCACTCTCTTGAAATACCACCTTTGGGGAAAAAAAATAACTTCAATAGGTCATTTTACATATATTCCAGATGTGTAATTTAGATGTGTGTGTGTGCGTGTGTGTGTGTCAGCAGAACCTTTTTTTTTTGTCTTATCACACAATGAACTTTTTTAAAATTCCAGGACTTAGTAGTGGTCACTGACTTTTAGGGAGGAGCCTCTTTCCCAAGTGATTTTTTTTTTTTTAATACTTCTGCATTTTTCTTTTTTTTTTTTTAAGATTTGTATTTATTTATTTATTTATTTGAGAGAGAGGCAGCAAGAGAGGGAACACAAGCAGAGGGAGTGGGAGAGGGAGAAGCAGGCTTCCCGCTGAGCAGAGAGCCCGATGCGGGGCTTGATCCCAGGACCCTGGGATCAGGACCCTGGGATCATGACCTGAGCCGAAGGCAGTCGCTTAACCAACTGAGCCACCCAGGCACCCCTGTACTTTTGTATTTTTCTACCTGCCCCTCTTGTGGGCAGCCCACGCCCTCCCCTTTCCTTTTAAGCCCAGATTAAACCCAGAGGGTAAGCAACATTAATATTAGGAAGAGAGGTGTCATATGCTCTTGGAGAGTGGGGCAGTGTGTATGAGTAGGCACTCCATCACCAGGGAGCAAGGACCCTGCGGTCTTCTGCTGTGTAACCCTCAGTGGCCATTCACACTGATACTCTCCTGACTTACTTCTGCCTCTTACTAACCTAGCAAGACAGTGAATGTTTTGTAAACTATGGAGAAGAACGCCAGTATCAGAAGCCATCAGGTAACTTACCTTTCTGAGACTGTGGTTCTTAGATCTTAGAAAACTTTTGAGATACTGATGAAGACTATGAATTCATTCCCCAAAACACATGTACCCCAAATTGATACATTTCCAGGGGCAGGGCACAGTGTGTGTCCATCGACCCTAGATTTAAGAAACTCTGTCCTAAGGATTGTGGCTCCTATCCTAAAGTATTCTAGTGCATCTAGAATGCCAACAATAACATCTTCATACTTGTAAGGCACTTTACAGGTCAAGAGCACCTTCTAAGTGGATCCTGATACTAAGCTCTGGGGTGGTATAATTCTCATTTTCCAGATGAGGAAATCAAAATTCGGAAAGGTTAGGAAAATGGCCTAAAGTGGAAAAAAGCAGCAGGAAGTGTCTTCAGGCCCTGAGTATGACTGCTAAATTCAAGGGCGGTGCAGGTGAACTCTGGATCTCTAATCTCACAAATCTAAGGCCAGAGTCCTTTCCTGGGGCCTGCCTTGCTTGAGGGCACAGAGCTTTAGCTCTCATGGGCCTAGTTCATCTGCGACTCAATACTGGAGGAAACACTGTGGGATGCATATTTCCAGCCTCCAGGGCGACCACCTGTGCGGGTTTGCCTGGGACTGTCCCGGTGTTAGCAGGGAGAGTCCTTGTCCTGGGAATCTCCTCCATCCCGGACTCACTGGGATGGTTGGCTACCCGGCTGGCACCACTAAAAAGTAATTTTGAACCTAGAAAGCAGGAAGATGAATATCTGTTGTGTGCCTGCTACATACCAGGCCCGGGGCTAGGATCTCTCCATGTAGAAGCGGTGTCTCAGTCTGAATACTGGCTCTGTTACTTACTAGCCAGATGACTTTGGGCAAGTTCCTTAGCCTCTCTGTGCCTCAGCTTCCTCATCTGTAAAATGGGGCCACAGTAACTCCCAAGTTGTTAGGAGGGTTGAACAAATTATTTGTAAAGCTCTTAGAACAGGGCCAGAGCTACACAGCGAGGGGCGTGCGTGTGTGTGTGCACGTATGTGTGTATACGTATGTAGGGTTTTCCTTTAATAAAACACGAATCCCAAAAAGACGGCAAGGCAAGTTGTGGTCTTCCATTTGGTGAGGGGGAGAGAGGCTGGGATCACGCAGCTGACAGTGGCAGCGTGTGGCTTGTGCGCTCATGCACACGTGGCTGTTTGTTTCTAAGATGCAAATGTTCCCTCTTGTGTCCCTAGGCCTATGTGAACCTCCTTTTCTGGTACCAGTTCTTTTGTGGATTTTCAGGAACCTCCATGACTGACTACTGGGTGTTGATCTTGTTCAACCTCCTTTTCACCTCCGCTCCTCCTGTCATTTATGGCGTCTTGGAGAAAGATGTGTCTGCAGAGACCCTCCTGCAGCTGCCGGAACTTTACAAGGGTGGTCAGAAATCAGAGGTAGGTGCCGAGGCAGAAATGCCGGGACCGAGACGCATCTGCCGTGCAAGCCAGGGCGCGTTCCAGTGAGCCCAGCTCCATGAGTATGCTCCCTTCAGGACTGCTTCACACTCTCGGCATTGCGGGGCTGTTACAGAACATCTCTGCTAACACGGCAGATACGAAGTTACTTGCTTCTGAGGTGAACAGAGGTACAACTGCGGAAGGTCTTAGGTACTTATCTGAAGAAATCTGGCATTTCCACAGCTCTTGATGTCTAGGATTTGCTAGACCTCACTGTGCCATCTCTTGTGTGAACTACTCAACCTCCCCTGTCTCATTTATCTCCACAGAACTTTTTGAGGGAGAACCTGGTATTGTACCCATTCTAAGATGAAGAATCTGAATTTCAAAGGGGCTCAGTAATTTTTCCAAAAATCTCACAAAATTTTCCAAAAATCTCAAAAATGGGTTATGTTTAGCTCCAGAGGTCACACTCTGAACCAATACACTCTGATTAAAGGGGGAAAACTGAAAGAGAGATGATAGCAAATGCTCAGTTGGAAAATTTTAACCAGGAACTTGGCACGCACTGAATTTGTAGTGACGTCAAGAGGTCTATCTGAAAACCGTTGAAAGTATGAGACAGGAGAGTGAGTTAGACGGGGGAGAGAGATACAGATGGAGGACTTATCATTACAAAGCAACAAGGGGTAGGGGGAGTCAAGAGAAAATATATGCAGTGAAAAGAGAGCCCAGCATCAAGGACTGATATTAGAGGAAAAACAGGAAGAACCACTAGGAAAGAAGAGACTGGAAAAGTGCGCAATAAGTAATGACAATAAATTACACAATTTCTATATCCTCAAGATCTAGAGCAATCGTTGCCACAGAGTTGGTGCTTGATAGCTATTTCTCTTGTTGTCGTCGTTGTGGCGTGATCTGAATGGCTTCCTGTCCCTAAAGCCAAGCCCTGGCCTCTACTTAATTGATCTTCATGCTACCTGTCTCCCTCTGATGGATCACTGATACCTGTCCCCCCTTCCTAATGTTCTCTCACTGTCCTCATTTTCTCTTACCTAGAGGATTGTGGTTGCTAATTACTTGGGCTAGCTGTCTCACAACTCTTTTCTTTCTTATTTATCTTCTACAAAATTAATAATAATAAAGCACTTATGAACGTTTATGTAACGCCTCCAAATGCCAGGCACTATTCGAAGTGCTTGATATACATAAATCTAATCCTCAAAACGACCCTGCACGTCAGTGCTCTCGTTACCCACTGTGTAGACGAGGACAGTCCGTCACAGGAAGGTACTTTCAGTAATGAGCCCATGTCACAGAATTCAAGGGCGGTGCAGGTGAACTCTGGATCTCTAGCCCATGCTCCACCGTTACGTGGGGCTGCAGAAAGAACACTGGTGCTGTCTTCAGTCCCTGGGTCTCCTCCCGCCTCCGCTGTGCTGTTCCATGGCCAGAAATCCAAAGTGCGCTCACAAGTGCATGGTCAGGATCACAGGGACTGAGGAAGGCCAGGAACCTATAGATGCCTGTAAGTGGGCAAAGCTGAGGTATCCCCAAATTGTAGTCAGATATTCTAGTCTTGAGAGGAAGACTCTGTTAGTCCGGACCCTTTCAGCTGCAAGTGACAGAAACCAGCTCCAACTGGCTTAGTAAAAAAGATCATGTTCTTGTTGACCAGGCCTGGGACATTTATTGTTCCTGAGGACAGAGCTGAATCACATGGACAGGATTGGGAAGAAGGGTTTTCTAGAGAAGTACTGGGCAGGCAAAAATCAGACCTACCATGAGAAATCTGTGTGTTGTGCTTCACTCATAGTTCTAAAGACGCTGACCCAGATCAGTTAGAAATAATGGGTTATGTTTAGCCTGAGTTTAAATTCTGGTTCTGTGGTGTGTGACCTTGGTAAATGATTTAACTTGCCTGTTCTTCTGTTTCTTTATGGAGATGATGTGAGGATCAAGTAAGATAAAAGTTCCAGCTATATTAAGCTCTCAGTGTTGTTATTTTTACCCCCTCCTCAGAATTAACCAGAAATTTGAGGAAATCCCAAATTTAAAGTGTGTTTATTTTCATCAGTCTAACTTTATTCTGACTTGAACTTCCTTTCCAGGCTGGGGAGTAACTTAATGTCTGCAGGCTACCTGCTGCAGCCAACACAGGGAAGTCACACGTTCAACTTTCAGGGAAGAAGAAATTCTCGTAATCCTTTAATATCATCTAGTCCATTTAGATCAAGGAACTAAATGGGATTTTCCAAAGGAATCCAGTCTGACTTAAAGTTCAAGGCCAGGTTGCAGGGATGGGTGATTGATATTAATGAAGGTTGTCTTATAACCCCTGGCCTAAATTCAATTCCAAGTCCATTGGAGAAAGAGAAGTGAGGGGGATCTTCAGAGTTTTTAGAGCTGGGGTTTTAAAAACCCATTTGTACAGACTGATTGGTTCTTACCCTTGGAAGAGTTGAGGTCACTGTTTCCTGTTGTTGAACCCTGTTATCCATCCTTTACACACGTTGTTCTGTTGAGCCGGCCAGTTTCATAATACATGGTAATAGCAGGCAGATTCCCAGCATGTGGCTATTGGGAGAAGGTCATGGATTTCATTGAGTTTACCTTCCAGAAGAGTTGTCCTTTCTTTGACCTTGGCCTTCAAACGAATTCTGTTTTATGCTTGGGCCATTTCCTGTCTTCGGCATCATGAAATATACTCTCTAGGGTTACGGAATGTCTCCCCAGAGGAGATGATCTGAAAGGCTGCAACAGAGGCCTCCCTCCCGAGAAGCAATCATCTGTTACCCGTCTCTCCTCACCCACACAGCCACCTTTCCTGGCTTTGACGTCGTGTCCACATTTTCCCTTTCAGATTCCAGGAGATCCCATGAGTTCATCTCGCCAGCCTCTCATTTATCTTTTCCTGTCCTTTGCTTCCAGAGTCCCCCGACTCACAGGACTGTGGAGTAATTATGCTTTTACCTTTTTTGCTCTAGGGTTTTTTGAGCAGCTTCCATTCTTCCAGTAGCTTGAAGTTACATTTTAGCTTATCCCCAAATTGTTCGCTCTTGTCTAGTAGCATTTTGGTTGCCCCTTTGATTCTACCACATTCTCTTCTGTCATTTGTGCTTCTGCTTAGATTTTTATGAACCTTTGGATGAAGAAAGGTAGAACATCCCACCATTTTTAAGGAGGAAACAGTAAAAAAAGATACAGGGAAAAGGAACAGTAACAGTAACAATATTAGAAACAACAAATCCTCATTGCTTTGATTTTCCAGAGGATGAAGAGGGTTTTTTTTTAAAGAATAGATTTTAAAATTCTAAGTATAGCGTATTGAAGAATAGAAGAACGAATGTGGAGAATTTGCGTATTTACAAAACTTTGTTATTTAGAAGACAATTGCTTATTTCCAAAGAAATGCCATCCCTTTCACATTTGGAAGGAAATAAGACTGAGAACATGTTAAGAAAAGAGAAGACTAGCTCAAGGATATAATATATGTGTTGCCATTTTTGTCCATGGCATATATCACTAATAAACCAAAACACTCGGTTGTTCCTCCGGGGTCTGGACGCAGCCTCAGAATCCTTCTGCACACACATCAACATTCAAACAGAGATGGCTCTTGTTTGAAAACCTGTTTTCCATCACTTGATTAGTGTCTCTACTTGAACTTTCTCTTTTTTTCTGTACGCTTTTGGTTAGAAGCAGTTCAGCATGTGAAAAGTTATGTAGGAATAGTTTATTAATCCAACAAATACTTACTGAGTACTTGTTATGTACCAGGTACTGTTTTAATCACTTGCATAAAAAAATCAGAGCCCCACTGTATGAAGTTTGCATTCTGTTGAGAGAACCAGAAAATCATTAGGTAAACAAATTAAACTATTTCCGATGGTGATGAGAGATTTCTAAGGATGCCATGGTAGTAAGTGATGGGATGGGCATAACTTTTAGACTGGTCTGGGAGTGCCTCAGTGAGGAGATGATATTGAGCTAGGATGTGAATAATGAAGAGCGGGTCATGTGGGAGGTCACGTGGGAGGTCCAGAGAATCCTGGCAGAGAGAAGAGCACAGGAGAAGCCCCAGGGAAAGAATGGGTCTGGCAAGTTTGAAGAATAGAAGGTGCCTGTGGTAGGATCATAGTGGATGAGGATAAGAATGGGAGGGTGGGACCCTGGAGAGCAGGGGCTCCAGTGGGCAGACCCTCCAGGACATTACAGGCCGTGGGAAGGAACTTAAGTTGTATTGGAAATGCAGCGGAGCGGCATTGGAGGGGGGGTCAGTTTGATTAATTAGGGAGGTGGCATGACCTGATTTATAGCTTTTAAGAACCTTCTGACCGCTGTGGAAGATTGGATTAGGGATAGGAGAAGAAGCAAAGAAGCCAGTTAGGTGGTTATTCAGTCATTCATAAAGAGAGTTGATGGTGAAGGAGAATGGAAACAGAAGTAGATGGATTTGGAGAAGTTTTTGAAATGGCACTTTCTGATCAATAGGAAATGGAAAATCAGTACTACTATCCCTATTTCAAGTAGATTCCAGGTTGATCCAATGATAGAAGCGACATGAGTTGAAGAGAGTTCCTCCATGGACTTTTTCACCTATTATTCAACTTCACACCATATTCTTCTACCACTATTTACAAATCTCACCTGTTTTGTGAGTAAGAGAATAAAGGAATATAATCTTCTCAGAGAAGCAAAAACAATTATTGGCTTGTGTTGTTCCTTGACATTGCTTTGACTCTTATTAATCCCTCCACAATATCTATTTCATTTTCAGGCATACCTACCCCTTACCTTCTGGATCACCTTGTTGGATGCCTTTTATCAAAGCCTGGTCTGCTTCTTTGTGCCTTACTATGTGAGTCCTTATTCACTCAAAGTGTGTGTTATTAATGAATCAGTGATGCTTCTTTGTTGCTCTTTTCAGCATATGGAATGGATATATTAGGGTATCTTGCTCATATAATCAAGTTGATCATTAACTGACTAAATTATAAAGTCCTACCCCAAATATGTTAGACAATGGATTAAATTTGGAGAGAAGTACATAGCTGACTCCTCATGAGTCTCCTTTTTAGTCCTGTGCTGCTTGATAGATTTTGTAAATGACCTGGATAAAATTGAGAGTCCAGGCATATAATGAGATGAGTCAAAATCGGAGAGGCAAAGTCAGAATATGGAATCAATTATTAGTGAGTGTTGGGCTAAATCTACTAGGATGATATTCATAGTATTAAATTTAAGTTCTTATAAATAGTCTCTCCAAAATAAAAAACCTGTTTTATAGGTGAAGAATAGAAGAAATGTGACTAAACAAAACATGTATAAAAATGAATTTTAAAATTCAGGCCAATCCCAAGCACAAAGCAGCGTGATATAACTGCCCACCCATATATACCCCTACCCAGAAGAAAACACTGGTTTGATCATGGATTGGTGTTAACAAAAGCACAGTATTAAGAATGAAAAAAAAATTGATAAACTCTAAGTTAACAACCTCAGTTCTTTAGTTCTTTATTTAAACAAAATGACTTGAATTTGCCAGCTAGAGTATTCTGGGTATACTGCATTTCAAGAGGGATACAGATAAGGCAATCTGAAGGTAAGCAGAAGAGAGCAAGTAGAATTGTGAAAGGTCAGAAAATTGTGTCCTTGGAAGAAAACTTTAAGGGTTTGAGGACATATACATAGGAGAGGAGGGGATATTTACTTAGCAGAGATCATACACTCAGGATGGCCTTTTTTTTTGAGAGAGAGAATGAGCACATGCACAAGCACAGGGAGAGGGAGAGAGAATCCCAAGCAGACTGCGCTGAGTGCAGAGCCCAGTGCAGGACTCGATCCTAGGACCCCGAGATCACGACTTGAGCCAAAAGAAGTGAGTCAGATGCTCAACCAACTGAGCATCCCGGTGCTGCTCTGGTAGCCTGAATAGCTACCTCAAAGTTTTGCAGCTCTATTAAATGGGACATATTTGATATTTTTCTATACCTCAAAGAGCCAGAAGTGTAAGTAAAAGGTTCCAGGAAGGGGCTCCTGGGTGGCTCAGTTAAGCAACTGCCTTTGGCTCAGGTCATGATCCCAGGGTCGTGGGATTGAGCCCTGCATCGGGCTCCCTGCTCAGCGGGAAGCCTGCTTCTCCCTCTCCCACTCCCCCTGCTTGTGTTCCCTCTCTCACTGTCTCTCTGTGATAAATAAATAAATAAACAAACAAACAAGCAAGCAAGTAAAGTAAGTACGTACGTAAGTAAGGTTCCAGGAAGATGAATTATGGCTCAGGATAAAGAGGCATTCCAACTGAAAAGTTCAAAGATTAGATGGCCCAAGAGTCAGTCTCTCTTTCGGAAATGTTCAAGTTTATCCTAAATGACCCTTTAATGAGCAACACTGAAGAAGGGACTCCATCCTCAGTTGAGCTATAAAATAAAGGGATGGTACTCAAACCACCAAGTGTGACAACTCTCCAAGATCAGCACCTGTTGTCCTCTCTTTGTAGACCTACCAGGGCTCAGACATTGACATCTTTGCATTTGGAAACCCCCTGAACACAGCTGCTTTGTTCATCATTATCCTCCACCTGGTGATTGAAAGCAAGAGTTTGGTGAGTGGTTTTCCTGCCTTGGAAGTAGCCTGAAACTGCTTGGGGGAAATGTCTTCTATTAGCAGTGATTGTGCTAAAGCTTTAATGCCTAGAAAACACATGGTAACGAGAAGAGTAATGATGCCAAATAAGAAGGGTGATTTCATGGATGCTCTTGTTGATTGTTGAGTGCCATTGTGTTGAGGTTGATGTATAGCCAGGGAAAGTGGAAAATACCTACCTGGTCCCCTTGGTGGTATCCATGGCGAGTCAAGCTGAAGAAACAATTACATTTCAATGACCAACATTCTTCAAGATCATGCTCATGCCTTTCAACTCAACTAAAGAGAGGTGTCGTGCCATGATCCTGGTATACTGACTTTAGTAAGTGATGATTTTATCACAGTAAAATGTCTCATGTTACAAAAATTATATTTTCTTCCCTCCAAAATTTTTACCCTTCATTTAAATCTAGGTCTTTTTTTATCTTAGTTGCTGACTTAATGATAGTTAATTCTCGTCATCAAAATGATTGTACGGTAGCTCTCTGCCGCAAAGCTAATGTGTAGGATTCAGATAGTGAGAGCTTTGTTGTAAACCTTCCTTTGCCGATGAAGAACATTCCACCCATCTCTGGAGAAGAAACCACTTCCGTGATTATTTATGCCCTTCACTCGTTTCCGATGGCATTGTCTTTGCTATAGCCTAAGCCACTTCCAGGACTAATGCTACGTCTCCTTAGACCTCCCACCCGCCTCTCCTCTTGACTCCTCCAGCCATCCTCTACAAAACAATCAGAATCATCCTTTTGAAACACAAATCATGTCTTGTTGCTGTCCTTTGGGTAAAACCCTTCAGTCATTTCCCGCTGCACTTGGAGTAAAATTGAAAAGCCCTGAGATGGCCTAAAGGACGTCATGCAGTGATTCCTCTACTTTTCTCTCTGATCACATTTCCACTTACTCAGGGGCTGGAGCCACATTGTCCTTCCTTTAGCAGTTCAGATACTGTGAGCTCGTTACCACATCAGGTCCTTAGCATTTGCCATCTCTTCTGAGGGGAGTGTTCTTACTCTTCCCTTGGTTCCTTGCACTTTACCTAGCTTGCATATTATTTTCAGTCTCAGCAAAAATGCTGCTTCCTCCAAGAGCCCTTCCCTAATGATCCGTTTTTTCATACCATCTTCTTGTTTTTCCTCATTGCTCCAATAATAATTTCTTATTATTCATCGTTATGTGACTATATGATTCATGTTTATCTTCTGCATTAGACTATAATCTCTGTGACGGGCAGGGTTCGTGTTTATTTTCTTGACTACCATATACCAGAATCTAGGACCGGACTGACACACAGTAGGTACTCAAAAATGTTTGGCTGGATAAACAAATGATTAAATGACTAACCAGTGTTTGGGGTATGTTTACCATCCTGAGTGCATTTTAAACAGAAATAGCTGCATGAGGTTATAGTTTAAATGTTACGTGCAGGGGCGCCTGGGTGGCTCAGTCATTAAGCGTCTGCCTTTGGCTCAGGTCATGATCCCAGGGTCCTGGGATCGAGCCCCACATCGGGCTCCCTGCTTGGCGGGACGCCTGCTTCTCCCTCTCCCACTCCCCCTGCTTGTGTTCCCTCTCTTGCTGTGCCTCTCTCTGTCAAATAAATAAATAATCTTTTAAAAAAATTAAAAATAAATAAATGTTATGTGCAGTTATATTATAAAATTATTTATAATAATTTCTAAAGCATAATCATTTCTAAAGAATATTGTTGGCATCACTTGCCTTGCTTATAACCTGCTATAATCAAACTGTACAAACCTAAATAGAGGTGTAGTAAAAGGTTAAAATCTGAAAATACCAGGGGAGTAAAGAACTAAAATATTTGGCATTGTTTTAATAGCTATTTGATTTCATTTTTAAACAATTTTGTAGGCACTTTTGGTTACTCCCTAAGGAATTGTCATCAGTTCTGACATTTAGTAGCATTCCAAAGGGTCTTGGGTTCACTGGTTATGAGCAACAGCAACCTGAGCAAATAGAAAAGTTATTAAAAATGTGTTGAAGAACCACCGTCAAACCAAACCAAACGGTCCTGAGGAACCAGAGTGGCTCCGGACATCCGGGGAACACACTAATGGGCAGGCTTGCCCTGCTGTGCTCTGACTTGGTTGCAGCCCTTTTCTTTCTGCTCCTGCCTCATTGTGCCCCAGGTTTCATCCCAGGGGACAGAATTCTGTCTCCTTAGCTTCAGTGCTAGGCTTTGGCTAGGGGAGGGACACTGCGCCGGGTATCTGCACTGACCGCACTAGGAAGCGGGAGCGCGAAAGCCAGGTGCCCAGGAAAACAGAGTCTGTTATATAAAGGACTCATCATTAAACCGTTTTTCTCATGCCCGAGGAGGCTGGAGCTCACAGCCTCTGAAGGTCCCTTGTCAGCAGGAGTCAGCCATTCTGAGGATGTGAGGCAGCTTCCCTTCACGCTCCGGCTCCTTATGTCATCAGCACCTCCCACCTCCCTGTCTGCTTTCCCCCTTTGCCTCTTGACTGTAACTGTATCACTTTATGGAAATGCGTCATCTCCATCAAGTTCCTGTCTCACTTGCCAAAAGCACATCTTAAGGGGAAAAAAAAAATCAAGCAGTAGGATTCAATGAGAAGAAAAGACATTTGAGAAAGAAAGAAAAAATTAAAAATCCTTGTTTTAGAGGCGTGATGATCATCAGGAGTTAGCCCACATTTTCTGAGCAGTTTGTACATTTTACTAAAAAAAACCGAGCAGTCTTTGTGACGCTTGTGAAGAGACCTACCGAGGGGAAATACTTTGCAAGGGGAAGAGGAAGAGGGAGAAAATTGGATCTCGTTTGAAAATTCTAGCCTTAGAAAATAATAAAGGCAGTACTACCCCCCAAAAGAATAACATACTCCACTCGGGTATCCACTACAATTTTAGGTGCTACTCTCCCCTGCGCAAAGAGCACTGAACACCACATCATGTGAAGGTGATGCTCCTTCATGGCTCGGATTATGTGAGTTTCCCTCTGTAACAAAGATCAGACTCAGCACTCTCATGACAGGTAATGGTGATATGACATTTAAGGCAGTGATCTGCTTTTCCTTCTAAATGAAGTTACTTAAATAGTAAGCCAGTTTCAGAAAATACCAAGAAAAATTTCGAGCTATACATAGATACAACGGTGGCTAGGTGAAGGGGTGAGACACGAAGATTTGTTTCTTGCTTGTGCAAAGTTAGCTAAGGTGCCAGATAGCTCTAGAGGAGTTGTCCTCTGAGGGGGCAGCTCGGTGCCCTAGGCAATGTCTTGTAGCTTTACCATCTGGAATTATCCCCAAGGAGGAACTCCTTGGTCATCATGGAAAGAAAGGAGGCAGTATGGAAAATTGCACACCAGCTCTTCTGTGCTTCTAACCTGAACATTTTTTCATGTCCCTTCCATTCACATTTCATTGGTCAAAGCAGGATGCATGGCCGTGCTTAATTTCAAGGGCGCGAGGAAATGCAGTCCTTCCAGATGCTTACAATGGAATGAAATTAGAATATCGGTGAGCAACAGTAATGTCTACCAGCCATGAGAATGGGTAACGTTTGAGGATTGCAGTATTACCTTAATGAAGAAGCAGGCCGATTAGTGACTGTATTAAAATAAAAAGAATCCAAACACTTCATGGTGCATTGAACAATATAAAGTAGAAAAGTCATCAAAATTAACCTTTTGGCATTTGACTCCGTTTTACAAAATTGAAACCGTGGTATGAGCTCTCCATGAAGTGTGCTCTTATCTCTTCGGCATTTTGTGTTTTGTATTCACTAAGGTTTGTGACACCATTCGTTCATTTCTTAGACACGTTGTCTCTTCAACAGAGCAGAGTTCGTGGGGATGCAGAACCCTGCGGGTAGGTGTTCATTTCCCCCGCCTTCCTTGTCTTGCAGACCCGGATCCACGTGCTGGTCATTGCGGGTAGCGTCGTGTCTTATTTTTTCTTTGCCTTGGTTTTTGGATCCATGTGTGTCACTTGCAATCCGCCGTCCAACCCCTACTGGATTATGCAGGAGCACATACTGGACCCCGTGTTCTACCTGGTTTGCGTCCTCACGACGTGCATCGCTCTTCTGCCCAGGTATGGGGTTTTATCCGCGAGAGAGGAAGTGAGATCAGAGGCTTAGAAGGCTTCAGGCAACTGCTCAGAATGATGGCGGACCATCCCCTTTACCAGTGGAGAAGTCAGTCTGTGTCCTAGTGAAAACATAGGTTTCAACTCTTTGACCAGAGAGCAAAAACAGTTTAAGCAACCTGGAAGAGAGCTTTCTCTCTCATGGAAAATTCTCATCGGGTTGCCATTCCGCAAAGATAGGGCAGCTTCACCCACAGGGTTATCTGAGGATCCTTTCCTCTGGCTTTTTGTTCCACCAACTCCCACGGGTGCTGCCCTCAGCTGCATGATTGGAGATGACTCACCGCCAGCACCCCCACATGCCTGTCTGCGGGAGGGAGGAGGAGAGAAAACGGAGCGCGAGCGGCTTTCCTGTCGCGTGTTTTTTTGCTTTGTCTTTGTAATGGCATGACCCAGAAGTTGCACATCATTACTCATATCCCTTTAACTAGGTCCTGAGTATGTCGAGTCAGAGTGGTGAAAATCTGAGGGTTTCTAAAAGGAAAAATGGGTGAATGTGGACTGAGAGACAAGTAGTGGTCTCTGTACAGCCCGTCAGCACTGAAAACGTCCCTCCTATATCTGAGTTCAGTTGTCTTTCCCATTTTAGTTTAACTTGAATTTCTAATATTGTACAGGATGGGGATGGCTAAGAAGTATGTGTGTGTTTTTAATCTATAGCTCTCTCTCTCTCTTTATATTTTTTATAAAGTGTATCTGTTTAGCTGGAAACACTGTGCCACATAGTTGTTCTACCTTTTTAAAACAGGACATGAGAGTCAAAATGGTGGTTTTAGGTTATTCTCTAACAGAGTTGACGAAGTGGCTCACAGGCCAAATGTGGCCCGCTGCCTGTTTTTAAAAGCACGTGAAGTTTTATTGGAATACAGACACACTCATTCCTGTATTCTCTCTGGCTGAGTTTGCACCACAGCGGTAGAGCTGAATAGTCCCAACAGAGACGATCTGGCTCGCAAAGCCTGAAATACTACTATCTGGCCCCCCAGGAAGAAAGTTTGCCACCCCCAGTGTTCTAACAAGTGCTGAAAAATGTGAAGGTGGCTTTGAAACTGGATAGTGGGCAGGGACTGGAAGAATGTAAAGTACATGATAGAAAAATACTAGACGGGGGCGCCTGGGTGGCTCAGTTGGTTAAGCGACTGCCTTCAGCTCAGGTCATGATCCTGGAGTCCCGGGATCGAGTCCCGCATCGGGGTCCCTGCTCGGCAGGGAGTCTGCTTCTCCCTCTGACCCTCCCCCCTCTCATGCTCTCTGTCTCTCATTCTCTCTGTCTCAAATAAATAGATAAAATCTTTAAAAAAAAAAAAAGAAAGAAAGAAAAATACTAGACATCTCCAAGAGAACGTAGATGATCGTGGACGTTGCCGTTCCTGCTGGTGGGGATTCAGAGGGAAGTGAGAAGCCGCACAGGTGGAGAAAATCATATCATCTGAGAAAGTGCACATACGGCCTTGAACAGAATGCTGCTGGAAATGTGGATGTTACAGGCACGGCTGGTGAGGGGTCCGAAAGAAAGGAGGAACGTGTCGCTAGAAATTTGAGGAAGGGGGATCTTGGCATTACAGCGGCAGAAAACTTAGCCAAAGTGGGTTTTCCTGTTATGTGGAAAGCGGAATTTGTGAACTATGACCGTGGCTATTCAGTGTTGAAGGTCTGGCCCGGGCTCTTCTTGCTGCTTAGAGTAAAATGTGAGAGAAAAGATATTGAGGGAAGGCCTATTAAACCCAGAGAAATTAGATTTGGGGAATTCTCTGCCTATCCAGATTTCCAAAGTTGTGAAAATGAAGAGATTGGCTTTTGGGACCACGCTCTAGAGAGGCCAGCAGTGTGGCTGGACAACCAAAGGCGGAGGAGATCAGGTCTGTGACATGGGTCCCTTCGGCCCCCTCAGCAGCCACCGGGAAGGAAGACGGCCTGATGTCGGAAGGCTCTGTGGAGGACCCTCGTCTAAGGGCGTGAAGCCCCACGACACGCGTGGGAGACCCACGAGGTCGATGAGAATGCCGTGCCCGCGTCCGTGCGGCCCGCTGGGGCCGGAAGGGACGGCGTGCAGTAAAGTGTCACACTGGTCCTCGAAAACTAAGCGTTGTTTGAACACGCACTGTGTCCTGCTCTCTGCTTTGCGTGTATTATCTCATTTCATCTAACAAACATTAAGCCTCTGACGTAGCACTATGGGGACCTCTACTTTAAAGGTTTTATTCTGTATTTATTTGACAGGCACTCCCTGTTTCCTCAGCACTTTGCAAACACTAACTTTTTTTTTTTAAGATTTTTATTTATTTATTCATGAGAGACAGAGCGAGAGAGAGAGAGGCAGAGGGAGAAGCAGGCTCCCAAGGAGCAGAGAGCCCGATGCGGGACTCGATCCCGGGACTCCAGGATCATGACCTGAGCCCAAGGCAGACGCTTAACCATCTGAGCCACCCAGGCACCCGCAAACACTAACTTATTTAGTAGTGCTGTTGTCTCCGTCTTACAGCGTGCTTCTCTTTCCCCTTTACCCCAAGGAGGCCAAGGGGCCCCCAGACCCTTTTACTCTTTCCAGTTGGTGAGGATTTTTGGTGTCCCGAGCCGCGTTTGCGGTGACTCTAATTCTGTGCTGCTTTTTGGAACCTAGGTTTACATACCGGGCTCTTGAGGGATCCCTGTTCCCGTCTCCAGTTCGGAGGGCTCAGCACCTGGACAGACTGACTGCGGAGGAGAGGACGGACGCTCTCAAGAAGTGGCGAGGGGCCGGAACGGCGGGCCGGGCGCCGTGGAAGTATGCTGAGCGCCCGGCTGCCGAGTCCGAGAGAAGAGGCCCGTCCGGCCCGCCTACCGCCTTGACAGTGGCGTCAGCACCGTCTCGTGCTGTCGAGCAGGGGAGCGCGTCTGTCCGTGAAACCGCCTTGGACTCAGACTGCTCGGAAACCAAGGCCTCAGGGACGGCGAGGCCCTCCGAGGGTTAAAAAAAAAAAAAAAAAGAAAAGAAAAAGAAGCAGGGTATCCTCCTTGCAGCGGCAAGTCTCCCTTCAAATCTGGAAGAGGGACTTTGAAGAGGCCCCTCTAGCAAGCAGGAATGAGGTGGATTTTTCCCAAAGGGACACGAAGATTCTTCTGTGCCCGGAAAAGCTGATGTGATGACCTTTCTTGTGTGTTTGTAGATACATTTGGAGGAGAGGTTGCAGTTTGACCTGAACTGAGTTTCAGGAGGTGAAATATTTCATCCCGAATCAAATGCTTTTATGAAACTTTTTGGATTTTGTAAAAGCATTTTAATTGTCCTAGACGTACAGACATTCCTAAGGGATTCATTTGAGATGTATTTATTTTACTGGGAGATCTCAGATTCCAGGGAAATGCTTTCAGTGAGCAGACTCCAATCTGAATTTTCTTTAATGAAAAAAAAAGTAGTTTTTAGATCAGTTAGAAAGCAGAATAGATTGCCACATGAAAAAAAAAATGTTATAAATGGTTAATTTCCAAAGAAAAAATTCCAAAGAGCCTTTTAAATGACAGTGTACCTAAAATAGGGTAATAACTGTACTGTTGAAAATGTGGTTAGTGATTATTAATAGCTTTTCATTTCCTCCAGGAAGATGCCTTTGGTCGTCTGACTGCCGATGTAAGGCATCCGTCTCTGCTCATTTCGGTGTTCTCTTGAGGCGGAGCCTTCAGGTGGAAGGGGCAGACCGGTGCCAGGGTTCGGTAGGAATATGTTCCTCTCTCTGCTTTTGGGCAAGAGAAGACCTTTTATGAGGTCTGCCTCTGTGCAGGTGTCAGCTGGGAAACATAGACCGTAGGTAGGACAGACCCAGTCGGCTCAGTCTGTAGCCTGCTTGGCAATCTCCTGTGTTCTAAAACTTGCAATAGCCTGATCAAGATGAAACAATCAATTTGAAAACAATCTGCAAGGTCTCTGGTGTTGTAGCCTTTAAAAATGAGATATTATGCATTGAGACTAATACAGGTGGTTCTCAGCAGGATTCCGTGAGGTTCTTAGAAAAATTTGTTTTTAAATACATTTTAGGACAGGAATGTCGATAGCAAGTTAGTTGCTAGTTGCAAATCATGTGTGTTGGCTTTAGTTGGAACAAAGAGACTAGTTTACCAACTAAGCCCAGATGTTACAAGATCATCTATTTTTGTTGAGTTCTTTTAAAATTCAGTATCTATTCATCTGAAAATTGCCAGCCACTAACCACCCAGAATCTCCTTCCTGAAATCTCCATGCTGATGTTCTATGTGTGTATCAAGATCTTATGACTATTAATCTGTTATCCTCAGGGCTTCATCTTCTCCTGCTGCCTCTTTGTCCTGGTCTGACATTTTTTTTGTAACTCTCTGATATTACTGCAAATAGTCTTTTATAGAGACTGATTTCTAGAACTTTCAAAATCCCACATGGCTATTGGAGGTTGTTTTCTGCTTTCTTTAATGATTTTTAAAAATAAACTGTTTAATAAATCATGTGTACAAAAACCTGTCATCACTCCTGTACGTATCACCGAACCCAACAGTAATTGGTACCAGAGTTTAGAAGGAAAATCCCAGAGCCTACCTTTTCCCAGAATATTGTAATGGCCTTTTCGTATATGGAAAAATCAGTAATGTCCTATCATCTGTCATCCTCATAGCAGCTGGTATTCATTGCCTGAATATAAATAAAGGGTTAGAATCTAAAGGTAAGAAGAATAAGCCAAGAGGACTGAGGAAAAAAGTCAGTCTCCCAGGTGTCAAGCATCCGTGCATAAAAGCAGAAGAAAGTCTTGAGTGTTCATGTTACGAGTCCGCAAACTCTTATCCACAACTCCAAAATCCCGAGAGCTCTGAAACTGAAAAATTTTTCATAAATTAGGCACAAATTCAATGTCCGGAACAGATGTAAGGCAATTTCTTTAATGTAATTATTCAGATATTTTGCTATAAAAATGTATTTTATGACTGGGTGCTAAATTCTATTTTTTAAATTCTGAAAAATTCTGGATTCGGAAACATAACTGGCCCTTGGGCAAAAGAGATTTGGGATCTGTATCAAGCCTTTAAAGGGTCTCATTTACAAGTAAATAACTTTACGCAGAGTTAACCCAAGCTGATGGGATCTATTGCATGTTGGTATTCAGTGTATTTTACCAAATTTCGGGGGACCAAGCATTGTATCATTGCTCCTGGTAGCCAGGAAAAATTAATAGTTTATATTTTGTGGTATAATTTTACCCCAAAAGATTTGTGAAAGAATTATTATATCAGGCTCCCAAAATATACTCTAGACATGAAAGATTCCTTGCACTCTTACCAGGTTTAAAGTTTTCTTTGGACTCCTAAGGGACTTGAAACTATTAGGAACCTCTCATTTTAGAGAGCCATCCATCACCTAAAATAAAAGAGCACGTTCCTGTGACAGACACATGACAGGTAAATTCGGATTGGTCGGCGGCTGGGGGCCAACTGTAAAGTGGGAGGCATGGTTTTCTGGGACTTGCTATTTCCATGTTCCATGTCCATTAAAAAAAAAAAAAGGGTTGTACCATTTTATTTGTATTAAGGGTTATTTAGAATAAGTACAGTTAGGTACACTTGCCTGAACATAAGTTGAGCAAGGCTAACAGTTATTACATGAAGTATGTACCTACCACTGTAACAGTCCTCACCGTAATTCTATTGTTGGATTTCACATTCTCAGTAGGTTTACACAAACTCTGGAACAGGAGATGAATAACATGGAATGTGTCAAGGCAACGTTTCGATTCTGAAATATGTGCACACATAGGAAAAAGTACAAAAACCCAGGTATAAAATTGCAGGTAAGTCTCTGCAGGGGCGGGGGATGCCGAGGCAGTCCGGGGTGCTGGTGAAGGTTAGTGGGGAATCTTCCTTGTTCCGAAGGCATTTGGGTGTTGCAAAATGGACGCCTAACTAAATTACTTCTAGTGTGAAAATTTGCATTTTGAAGATTTTTAGTGGGGAAAAAAATACTTTTAACCGCTAGTTACTTCAGAAATTGATGTGCACAAAGTGGCCTAGTGCTTAAAAGCATTTTTAAAATTTTTGTTTTAATTATCAAGGGGAGGCAATGGCAACATCAGATACTAAACACGTTTCAAGGAAAATTACAAAATGTTTTACTCCACGCAAACTTGAACTATGCTTTGAGAGGCATTTCTGTGATTTTATCATTATGGGCGAACACAGGAAAGTTGGAAAATACTGAATTGGAGGTCGGGTGCAATTTAATTTTTGTTTTCAAAAATTGAATCTCTCCAGGCCTTTGACAGTTGAATCTCCATTCATTGTCACATAGGCACAACAAAATGTTTCCCACGAATATTACTCTAGCTGTTGAGGTCCCAGTCAGCCAGCTGATACACACTGAACAAATCCCAGCTAGAGGGAAGGTTCTATGGAGACTTTTCTATAAGGTTACATCCTTGATTTAAGTTCAGAACGTGCAGTCTTACACTGTTAAATGCTATTGTTGATGTCTAAAGAGCTTTGTGTTCAATATGTCTTGCCATTTCAGCTACCTAAATGGATGGCACTTGTCTCTTACCTCTGACTATCTTTCATAGGTTTTCAGAATTATGCAGACTTGAGTAACAGTAAATAATTTAAGCAGGTAAACTGTCTTGGCTCTTAATAAATCAAAAGCAAGTCTCCAGTATTAATATTGAAATTTGCCACTCTGCTATTGTGCTTGAGAAACAAAAGCTGGCAAAGAGCCTGGATCTCAATGGCCTCTCTGTGACTGGGATAAAGAGAATTCTCTAGAACCTGTTACCCTAGCACCTGCCTTATTCCAGAGCTGATACTTTTGTGCTATGGTCAAGATTAGGCCTGGCAAAAGAACAAAATCTGCTTTGTTTGTTGGGTTTTTTTTGTTTTTTTTAAAGACTGTCATTAAACTTGAAGTAAGAGAAAACTAAAATTGAAAAAACTGAATAAAATGAGACCAAAACAAACATGAAAATTTGCAGTGCACCGCTGAGCATCCCTGTCCATGAAAAGTGCTTCTGGACGGCTCTCTGCGGGGAGCTCTCCACAGTTGACAGGGCCATTTTCTTTGTAGCTGGCAAAAGTCTCTCATCATCTTTGGAATTAGTTTAGGAGAAAGGTATGGATGTATATTTGTCTTTCAATCCATTCGACGAAGTATGACACATTGCTATAAACTCCGGGCCCCAGGACTTTGGAAAAACAGACAGAGCCCCACGACGTTAAACCAAATAATGTCCACTGTCCTCCAGGCCGCTCGCAAACAAGTGGCCCACCGCTGTCACCCTGTAATGAACAGAGTGGACATTAGTCACTGGTGGCATCTGTGTTATCCTGGGGGTACAGTGAAGCCAAACCCAGCTTAGCCAACTTCTTGGAAAGTTTAAACAAGGCTTTCGTTGCCAACCAGAGGGAGCACGCTTTCCACCACACTGATGGAACTTCCAAATGCACATTTTAGACCCTGATATTTAAAAGAACGGGGGTACCTTGGGAAAGGACTACGTTCCTATTTCTCTGAAATCAGACTTCTCAGCCATTTCCTGTGCTTATCAAAATAGGTCATAATTATTTTTTAATTTAGTGTATCAGAACGAATTCTCTCGTAACTGTTCTCATTCTTAAACTTTGAGCCATTTTATAAATGTTGAAAGTACCCAAAATGGAACATGCAAAGATTTTTTTTTTTTTCTCCACTCAAACAGTACTTCAGAAAAATACTCCAGAATAACTCTCTATTTTCAAGATTCTTGCTTTGTGAATGATTCTTTAGTAAAAGACACTGGCAACTTGCTGCATTTCCTAACAGTTCTTAGGACTGTTTCAGTTAGTGTACGTGAATGGAAAATAGCACATCAGAATTATTTACAGTAAGGTGTCTGCAGCCTCTGTTCTACCTCATTTGTATGGAGATTTTCATTCTTGACATTTCCGCTTAAGCGTTGCAATTCTTGCCCCCACATATGATTAGCAGTGAGACACTATGGCTTTATAAACATCAGTATTGGCTACATCTGAAAAGATCAGAGATTAGGTGTATTCTGTATGGCCTCTGAACACAAACATACCGAACACAGAGAGATCGATACCCTAGGAAATAAAGAAGTAAGTATGTGAATTCATGGTGGGAACTCGCACATACTCCTGCCCCGTAAGGACGTCAAACTTGGAATTATATAGATGGTCTTGCCCCCCGATCATGTTGGAGAAAAATAGTAATTACGTTTATTGATGCTCCTCTAAACACTTTCCCTTGGATTAGCTCATTTAATCCTCATGAGATCCCTATGAGTTGCTAAATAACTGTCCATTTTGGAGGTGGCGAGACTGAGGCACAGGTGTGTGCCACGTTCGTAGGCAGAGCGCGGGTTCGACCCACACAGTCTGGCACCACGACTCCAGACAGCGGCTTTCCTTCCTGGCTCCCCAGGCAGGAGACGCGAAAGCCGAAGGCAACCGGAGCGAAGGGCATGGAGAGGAGAAGGGGATCACTTGGGTACCGGAGAAGGTACATATTGTGAATAATTTAACATCGGTTAGTAAGCAGTCTGCGAGAAATACTCCCAAAGGGCCGCACGGGAATAACAGCGAGTATACAGGGCCCCGGCGCGCGGAGAGAATTTACCATGCACGAGTCGACGGTGCCGGACTCATACCCCGCGCACACCATCCGCGCCGTGATGGTCTTCATGTCGAAGTAGGACCGGCACTGCTCCAGGGGGATGATGCGGACCTCTCCCTCTTGCAGCTTAAAAGGCACTGGGGTTTTTAAAAAAAGAAGAAGAAACCAAATATCTAAGAGGGCAGAATGACTCAAAAATGAGGCCAGCCGTATATGAAATGATGACATCTGTATACCCAGGGAAGCATATTCTTTACTTAAAATGCCATTTCAAAGACAAGGCTTGTCTGGCGTCAGAATTTTCAATCAGCAGTGTTGACCGCGATCATCTAGTCCAGCTCCTTTATTTTATTAATGAGAAACTGGACCAGTAACTTGATTAGGTAACTCGCCTCGTGCTTCTCCCCTCTTAATACATGCTGCAACAAGAACAACGGCTACTTCGAGGAAAAGACAAGCAATCAAGCCCGAGCATTGCCCCAGACGGAGGGTTAGACCAGCATGGCCGGACTTTCAGGCTGTGTTACAGACGTTGACAAGACCAACTCATAACACACGGTGCGTGCAGCTTGACTGCGGGACTGGAACAGCCTAGCCGCTCGAGAGAGGCTCCGAGGGGCTCTGCCCGCAGGTGCGCATCGCTGGTAGAGAAGGTCTGAAGCAGGATGACGGACAGGCCTTCCCTTGCAGGGCGGCTCCACAACATGGGGAGTGAGGGGCTCACCCGAAGGGAGAATCCGAGGTGTGGAGAAGGAGTTCTGAGGCTGCCGCAGGGTGGCAGGTGGGGGTACTGCGTGTGGGAGAGGAGCGTGACACACACCCCTACTCCTTGCCCTTTGTGGCTACACTTCCGAAGTGAAGCCGGGGAACTGCTGCCCAAGCCTGGGAGGTAACACAGCGGTTTTCAGGTACAAACGGAAGGCAAGTGCTGCCTCCCGAGGCTCCTCACTTACTTTTGTTGCCCACGTGCCCCCAGCCTGTGATAGAGCAGTACGTGTCGGGTTGCAAGGCCTGCTCCGAGCTGGGCAAGCAGACCGGCCGGACGTAGCTGGTTTCGTTGACGTCTTCGCTCAGCTCCACGATGCTGATGTCGTAGTCGACCACCGCTCGGCTATAGCGCGGGTGCGGGATGATGGTCCTCACGAGGCGCGTCTGCAGGAACGGTGACGGGCGGTCTAGGTTGTTGATGCCAAACACCACTTTCCAGGCGGCAGCGTTCTCTCTCCTCAAAGAACAAATTCAAGAGCTGTTGGCGTCTTAAACCCTAAGTTAAATTTTGAAATTTACAAGTAACTTTTAAAATATTTACGTGAAGAATGGCTCTTCCCACGCCCGACGTATTTATGTAAGAGGCATTTCTAAAATGGCCTGAGCAATTCGTAAATAGGTATTCTTGTGGAAAGCGAAGCTCATGCTTCTAGAATGGGGCTATTCTGGTAAATAAAATCTGTTTCGGTTTGAAAGGCAGGCAGGGGGGTTACTTGCTTCATTGAGTGGGAAAAATAATAAAGACGTGAAGAAGAGAGAGGAAATTCTGGCACATGGAGAGTCCTGAAAGTTAAGTGAGTGAAGTGTTTTTAGGTGGACTGACTAGAATAATCCGAGCAAGTGCTCAAAAACAATGCAGTCTGAGACTGACCACTGGAAGTCATGGGTCACCTTTTTAAGCCTTTGGCTTGAAATTTTCAAAAGGTTCCCCTGAAAACTCGCCATTTCTCTGAGGCACTTGCTCCTTCTTGGAGGAATGTCTTAGCCTTGACTTTTTATTCTCCTTTCTTTTCATATATTTTAAAAGATTTTATTTATTTATTTGTCAGAGAGCACACACACAAGCAGGGGAAGTGGCAGGCAGAGGGAGAAGCAGACTCCCCACTGAGCAGGGACCGCGATGTGGGGCTCCAGCCCAGGACCCTCGATCCCAGGACCCTGGGACCATGACCTGAGCCGAAGGCAGACGCTTAACCAACTGAGCCACCAGGTGCCCCTCCTTTCTTCTCCTTTTTCCTCCGGTCTCCTCTTCTTCTCTGCTCTCAAGTCTATGTCGAAGTGACCCAGGGCTCTACTGTCAGTCTTCTTATTCCATACTCATCCCCTTAAAGATTTCATCCAGACCAGGGGTTTTAAATGCCACCAAATCCTGGTAACTCCCAAACGTGCATCTCCACCCTCCCCACTGGGCTGCAAACTTAAATACCCAATTATCCATTCAACAAACTCACTTATATGTTTAATGATAGCTAAGATTTTTTTAGTGCTTCCCACATCTTTGACTATGTTCTAAGCATTCAGGATTCATTTTACAGATATTTAGTACTTACAACCATGTGACAGAGTTGAATCATCTCTTTCTCTTATCCCAACATCATCTTCATCAGCAGGTCTTCACCACTCCACTTTCAAATATACCCTGAATCTTGTTGTTTCTCCCTCTTCCACAATCTATCTTAATATAAACCACTGTCATGTACTTGGATGACTGCAGTGGCTTCCCGGCTGGTGGCCCTTCTTTTACTCTTAGCACCCCGAGCCCATATTCCTCAACGGCAGCAGAGTAATCTTTTTAAAAAACAAAATTAGATTGAGTCCATCTCCTGCTCAAAATTCTCCAGGGACTTTGAATCACTCTTGAGATACACTGTAGACTCCTCATGGCCTCTGAGATGACCTGCTCCATTCCAAACCCAAGGACTTTCTATTTTTGGATATGCTGAGGACATCCCCAATCCAGAGGCTCTTTCCTTTCTGTTCTCTCAGCTCCCATATGGTTCCCACCTTAACTCCTTCTCTTCTTTGAGGTCTCAGCTCAAACACCACCTCCTCACAGCTGCCCTCTTTGGCCACCCAGTCTAGGCTTTTTTCTGTCCCCATCACTCTCTACTCTTGACCCTGCTTTGATTTTCATCTCATTGATATCAATGACATTGGTACATCTGTTTTCTATTCTCTGCCTTGCACCCAGAATGTAAGTTCCATGAGACCAGGGCCTTGGTTGGTCTTGTTCACTGCTGCATTCACAGGCCTAGGGATGCAGTGGGTTCTCAACAAGTATTCGTTTAATGGTGGCTCAATGCATGTTGTTTCAAAACATGTACTAATGGCCAAATCCAGCCACCTAGGCAAGGTCTGTTCTCCATCAGTCCCTCCACCTTCTCTTCCATCCCCAGTCCCAGTCCACTCTGGAGGACCAGAGTGGGCTAGGAGCAAAGAAGTGGATGTGTAGAGGACTGCAGTGCTGGTGGGGCTTTCCTAGTGGACGTCACCATATAACAGTGGTAGCGTTAAGTGAGCCATGCCACCACTGTCCCCACTTGGGAACTTGCCCAACTAGAGTAGGTTGATTTGTCCCACTAAATAGTTGTTTTTCAACCCAGGCTGAAGCTTTTAAATACCGATCTTCTGGGCATCACCCCCTGTCAATTGAAAGTTTTGGGCTGGGGCCTGGGAATCCATATTTTTAAGAGCTCCCTAGAGAGTCTCAGACAAAAACTCACCTATATTCCTTCTTTCCTTGGCATGCTTTTCTTCATTGTGTTCTCATGCATGGCAAAGATTCAAAAGGCTGAGATTTCAGGAGAGTTAGGAAAGAAGTGGCCAAGGTCAGTGTTCAACCTGTTTATGGTATTGCTGGATTCTTGGAGTACACAACTGAAAGACTGCTCTACATGGTCCATGCATTCTATCGTTTTGCCAATGTAAAAAATAATAATTTTAGGACTATATGAACAGGAATTGATGTCATCTTTGAATGTAGATATAAATATAGATATTAGCTATAGACATATAGATACATATAAATAGGCATAGATTTATAGCAACTTCTCCATGCCAAACATTGTGCAGGGATTACAACAATCAAGAAAGACATGATTCCCATCCACACAAACTTTAGAATTGAGTGAAGATGAACAATTAAGAAACAATCATAGTAAAATGCAGGAAGTGCAATCTCATGAGCATTACAAGATAATATTACAGAAGAATTATTTTTCATTAAATAAAGCCATCATTCAAAGAACATGTCTTTTCTTCTTTCTTTCTCTCTCTCTTCCTTTCTTTCTTCCTTTTTTCTTTCTTTCTTTCTTTCTTTCTTTCTTTCTTTCTTTCTTTCTTTCTTTCTTTCTTTCTTTCTTCCCTCTCTCTCCCTTTTCTCTCTCCCTCCCTTCCTTCTTTCTCTCCCCTCCTCCCCTTCACCTTTGCTTCCTCCTTTTTCTCCCTTCCACTTCCTCCCTTCCTTCCCTCCTTCCCTTGTTACTTCCATTTTTCCATCTACAGAAGTAAGTGCATAACCATTTGAGAAATTCAGTATTCACTTGAGATTCTATTAAAGGCATCTGAAATCAAGCAACAATTTATTTCAATTTCTGCCTATTTAATAGCTTCTTGACCTGGATTCAGAACTACTAAATTTTGCTTCTAACAAATATTCATCCACTTGCTTAAATCACAAGCAATGTTTCAAACAGTTGAACACTGCAAATTATTTGTAACAAGATGAAATAACAAATTTCAGACTTAATTACTAGATTGTGCTTAATCTAATTCTAACAGTGAAAAATAGAACTGCTAAATGTTAACTTGTATCTAGTAGTTTATTGCTACACAAGCTACTGTCCCTGTGGCATTAACATCTGCCAAAAACAAACCAACCGAAAGAGTACACAGGAAATTCACATAATTTTTGTAATCAGTGAGGATATTGTTCTTTTTCCTTTTTATGAATATGATGGAAAAAATAAAGTCTCTTTTAACGTCTTTTTTTCCAAGTCTGGCAAAAACCAGGAAAAACCACAACCTGTTATTTGAAATGGGCATATAAAGTGAAGGAACTGTGTATCAATGGTATACGGGCGTAGTAAACACATGCTGGAAAGAATGAGTCAGAAATAACGGCAGAGACAACCCCGTATTGGTGGAAGCAAAAAGAGGAAAGAAAATTTAGAGCTACGTGAATGCCACACGAGTCTAATCTCAGTTCATATTACCCCCCATGGAGAAATACATAGGAGCAAGCTATGTTCATATGGGCTTTCCAATGAAGAGTTTGAGCGACAAAGAAAAAAAGCCAAGTACACCCACTGAAAGTCTTCAGCATAAGGGGTACTTTTTCAAACTGAGCTGTCAGACCTCAAAACAGCAGCACAGAGAAATGGCACATCCTTAAAGAAGTTTCTGCAGAGACCCCTCATGTTCTGGGAGGGACAAGCAGGCAGAGAGGAAGTCCAGTGAAAATCCACCAATCACAGTGAAAATGGCCGAGGAAGACGTTAAGAGACCTTTTTCTCCTTTCATTCTAGCTCCAGGTGGCATTTCCTTGTCTGAAATTCACATTTACGGTCTAATTTGCTTCATGCCTATATTACTACTTTAACAATGGATACACTTTACAAAGAACATTGAGATAATATGATTTCAATGTAGAATTCTTCAACCATCAGCTCTAGAGAGAAAGCCCAGCTACATATACATCTTAGATGACATGCAGGAAAACTTATACAAAATTAAAGGCACACCATCCTTGGCCATAAGAACTGGTCAATTTGGTTTACATATGCCAGCCTGAACCCCGGTTTAGACACAAAAATGCCACATTTTTATTTATTTTAGCTAGCCAGGTTTAGAGATGTTCTATCTTCATCTTTTCTTAAGAGCATAAATTTTCCCTTTCTTTCATCCTTTCTGGTTTGGCTTTAATATATTTAACATCATTTTAAGAAAAAAAATTAATATTTATAATTAATACCTGTGATAGAAACCACCCTATTTTACAAGTCTTACTCCAGAAATAGCACAGCTAAGTAGTGATTTGGAGGTAGTTGAAGGTGACCAAATTTGCACTAAGAAATATCACATAATGGCATCATTGCTGTTCTACAAATCTCACGACCCACTTACTTTTACTTACTTACTTACTTACTTACTTACTTACTTATTTATTTATTTATTTAATACATAGAAAGAGCATGAGCAGGGGGAGCAGCAGGCAAAGGGAGAGGGAGAAGCGACTCCCCGCTGAGCAGGGAGCCCTATGCGGGGCTCAACCCCGGGACCCTGGGATCATGATTTGAGCTGAAGGCAGACGCTTAATTGACTGAGCCACCCAGGCGTCCCAAAATGAGGGATTTTAAACTTATTTTAAATATACTACTGGATTTCCCAACCCTCTTACTTTTAATATTGTGTTCTGCCCTTGGTATTCGTAAAGGATTCTCTTCAACACACCCAGAG